ACGTGGCGGGTCGGGTTTTTATTTTTGTTGGGTTATATCCGGCTGATTAGGCAATTCTGTTTGCCACATCAGCACTTAACGGACTTCATTAACGGAGTTGGACGGAGACTAACGGCTAGTGACTAAATGTGTCCAGTTTTAGTAATTGTAGTGACCAAATTTGATATTAACTTTTTCTAGTGACTAAACATGTCCCGATTTTGTAATCTCAGTGACCATATGTGTCTTTAACCCTAATTTCTTCATATTAACCTGAATAATCCCATGGCAAGATGTCGAACAAAATGAAAGGAGGACCAAACTGCCGAAAAGGTGTAATGATGGAACTTATGCATCATAATTTCATTACAAGATAGTAAATAATTTATATTCTGTCCTAAGAACCGGTGCATCATAAGTCCATTACAGATAGTAGTCTAACTAGGTAATCTCCCGCAATTTATTTATGAGAAGGGCATTGGCAAACTTCTTGACCCTTTATGTGAACTATAGAGGCACATGCACTACTATCAATCGATGCAGCAATTTCAGCAGTTCAGACTCCCTGCAGAAAGGTCAGTCATCATCAACACGTTTGTTTTACAAAACTGTTTCAAAAACTGGTTTGGTAGCACAACCTTGGGTATGAAAATAAGAATCGGCAATAACAAGGCTATTGCTATCATTCATGGACAGTCCCCCGAGCTTTGGGGAAAATATAGCAACTGGAATTGACTAGGAACAAAATAACACCAAATCGTACTGTAACACCCTGCCATTTGGGTTTAGGTTCAGCCATAATAAATGAACAATTGAATTGATTTTTTTTTTGATAAGTTGGAGGCCTTAGCCAAGAGAATTACATACAAGGGGAGGAAGAGTTCGAGGGACCAGCTCCATTCTGCTGGTTTGTGATGACAATGTTTCTAGTGAAGCTAAATCCTTGGATATCTTCATTTAGGATCTGTCGTAAAGCGATAGGCGGGCTCGTTAATTCTGACAACCCAAAGGGATAGACGAGACTGTGCTTCGAGAGCCAATCCGCGACTCTATTCCCTTCGCGGTATGTATGAACAATACGAACCAACCATCCCTGAGCTAGACGACGTCTAATAACGTCAAGAATAGTTGAGTGCGGGTGAACAGGGTCTAAACGATGCTCAATTAGCAATAGCTGCTCTGGAATCGGTCTCAATAATGACACATCGTAGTCCGTGCTCCCACGCCAGCTCCTGTTGTGCCTGGGTTACCTATTGCAGCTCCGTCTGTATTAATTTTGTACCACCCTGGAGGAGGTGGATTCCACCTAATTTGCACCGCGATCCTTGGAGTCACAATCTGTTGGCCGGTTAACTTGGGAGTTGGAGCGTTCCAGGCATCGGTCCAAGCTGCTGCTGTCGAAATGATTGCGTTGGCCAGGGAGGAAGGCGTCAACACTTTTGCTGGTCCATTAAAGCAAAGCTCATTGCGTTGCTTCCATATAATCCATAATGCAATGGCAAAAAAGGCGGCCCATGGAATATTAGATGGACCGACTTCATTTTTGGCAAGGTTGTCCGAAAACCAAAACTTGGATTCTTGAGCGAAGAAAGTCGACTGAAGAGTTTGTGGTACTGTTTTCTTCCAAAGAACTCTTGCAGCCATGCAGTCCCTGAAGATATGCAGTTGGTTCTCAATGACACCTGTACACCGAAGGCAGTGAGGTGATGGGGAAAGTTGTTTCGAGTGAAGGCGCTCCCTTGTACTAACTTTGTCAAGGCTGAGCAACCAGGCAAAAGTACGAACTCTTTCTGGTACTGGTAATTTCCAGATGTTCTTCCAAGGAGGTTGAAGAGTAGTTGTTGATGATGGCGGTGGTGGATGAGATAGTTTATAGGCTGATTTTGCCGAGAAGTGCCCGTTAGTAGTCTCTCTCCAAAACAGGGTATCATCCTTTGTGGTGAGGTTGTCAACTGTCAGGGCTGTGATCTTGTCCGTCACTTCCAGGGGGAGGAGGGATTCGAAGCTCGACTTTATCCATCTTCCTTCGGCATCAACGTAATCTGCCACATGTGTATTAATAAGGATCTCCGGAATTGTTGAAGTTGCCACTTGCAGTAGGGGGACCTGCAAAACCCAAACATCAGTCCAAAATTTTGTGTTCTTTCCATTGTGAATGTTCCACGCGCATCCTTGTCGAAGGATGGGGGTAGCTTTATTAATGCTACGCCAGGTAAAGGAACTTCCCTGAATGGTTTGAAACACATCAAGATTACGCTTTCGCCTTCCATACTTGCTCTTCAGAACCTGAACCCAAAGGGTGTCTCTTTCCGTCAACAACCTCCATCCTGTTTTAGCCAACATAGCTAAGTTTGCATGCCGAGTTGAACGTAGCCCAGCTCCTCCCTGGCCTTTCGGATGTTGAAGCTTATCCCAAGAAACAAGGTGCATTCTCTTTTTTTCCTCTGTATCTCCCCAGAGGAAGTCCCTATTGCTGCGATCAAGAGCATCACAAGTCGACGCAGGCAGAAATTCTGTATGCATAGGATAAATAGAGACGGAGGAGGAGACTGATCTCACCACGGTTAGTCTAGCGGCTAGTGAGAGACGTCGTGCCTTCCATGGGGCCAACTTCTTTTGAATGCGACAGGTTAGGTCAGCATATCTCTCTTTAGAGACCCTTCCATTGATTGATTGAATCCCTAAGTAGCATCCGATATTGTAGGTCAGAGGGATTCCAGCTTTGCTACTCAGTGTCGCTGCTTTTACTCTTCTCACGTTAGGAGAAACGTACATGACCGATTTGGCTAAATTGACTTTTTGACCAGAGCTTTCACAAAATTCCGCTAGACACCGTTTGACTCCTTCTACCTGCTTCGGTTCTGCTTCAGCAAAGATTATCAAATCGTCTGCAAAAAAGAGATGTGAAAGCCTCGGACCCTCAGTTGAGAGTTTCAAAGGCTTCCACAGTTTGTCGTTAATGGCTTGATTAATTCTATGTGATAAACGTTCCATACATAAAACAAAAAGATATGGTGAAAGAGGGTCTCCCTGACGGACTCCCCTAGTGGGGAGGATCGGGGGAGAGAGTTCCCCATTCCAGCTAAGCCTCATCTTGTTGTGTTCTACGCAGAACATGATTTGTGCAATCCAGCAGCTGGGCAACCCTATTTCTTTGAGGGTATCCCGAAGAAAATCCCATCGAAGTCTGTCATACGCCTTTTCAAGATCAATCTTAATCACCAATCCACCCCGTTGTCCCTTCTTCCTACGTAGAGAGTGAAGCACTTCCTGAAGCACGATAATGTTATCGGTAGTTTGTCTGCCAGGGATAAAACTACTTTGGGTGGGCGCAACCAGCTTGCGCATGACTGGCTTGAGTCTATTTGTGATTGCTTTAGTAATAGCTTTCATACACACATTGTTGAGGCAAATCGGTCGGAGTTGGCTGACTGCTTCTGGCATTTCAACTTTGGGAATAAGGACCACTGTTGAGTCGGTGACTGCTTCTGGGAGGTGGTCTGTCTCAAAGAATTTGAGAGCCATGTCAGTAAGTGATTTCCCAACCACTCCCCAGTTATGTTGGTAGAAGATAGCTTGAAATCCGTCAGGGCCTGGAGCTTGTAGTGGCTTCATTTCATGAATAGCCTTGTGAATATCACTGATGTTGAAAGGCCGAAGAAGTTTGGACAACTCGCTGTGATTGAGCTGCGGGAAGTGGCCTTTGGGCATTTTGTCGTTGTAATCTGTGTTATCCTGCAAGTAAAGAGCATGGAAGAAGTTAAAGACTAGATCTGCTAGTTGGCGACTGTCAGAAACCCACTCCCCTGCCGAGTTCTTTAAGCTTGTGATACGATTTCGACGTCTTCTAATAGTGGCTTGTTGGTGGAAGTAAGTTGTATTCCTTTCGCCAAACTTTAGCCACTTCTCTCTAGCCTTTTGAAACCAAAGCATCTCCTCTTGCTCGAGTAGTTGGTCTAGTTCCTTTTCTAGTTTAGCCATTAGCTTGCTGAGCCCTGTAGAGAAGGAGGTTGCTAGTCGGCTTTGAATACCACTAATTCGAGCAACTAGCCTCCTTTTTTTGGCATGGATATTACCGAAAACCGTAGTATTCCATTCTCGGATCTTGGCTGTGAAGTCAATAAGTGCCGCAGGAAGGGGGGAGTCGGGATCCCAAGCTCCTGCAACAAAATCGCGAAAACCGTTGTGGAATAGCCACATAGCTTCGAATTTAAAGGAATTGGAAGGGTGAGGAGACACTCCCTGGCTGCCGGTAACGGTTAGAATGGGGTGGTGATCGGAGTGTAGGCGAGGGAGGTGAGTAACCGTTGAGGCTGTGAAAAGTGCATTCCAACCGAGGTTGCAGAAGCTCCTGTCCAATCTGCTAGCTTTGTAGGAGAGAGGAGAAGCACCCCTTGTCCATGTAAATTTAGGCCCCGAGTAACCCAAATCGATCAATTCAGCCTTATTAATCCAGGTGTTGAAGCGGTGGCAATGGCGGGTGGTGGCCTCCGTACAAGCTCCTGTCTTTTCTGTTGGGTCGCGAATTGCGTTGAAATCTCCTGTGATTAGCCAAGGGAGTTGTTGCTGCTTGCTCGTCTGAATGAGATTATCCCAAAGGAAGGATTGAAGACGTTTGCGCGGTGATGCATACACTCCTGTAATAAGGAGTTGGGTGTGGTCTTTCAGTTGGATCTTGACGGTGATGTGTTGTGGGCCAGCTGAGACCAGAGAAACCTCAAAACTATCTCGTCGCCAGCAGAGCCAGATTCCACCCTTGCGCCCATTAGCCTCAACTCTCAGTATCTCAGAGAAGCCAGTTTTGCCACAAATATCATTCGCCCTATTGCCACTGATTTGCGGTTCGATAATAATCAATAAGTCAGGTTTCTGAAGCTGCAGGATAAGGGCAAGAGAGCGGAGAAACGCCCGATTACCTGCGCCACAAACATTCCAAGAAATAGTTTTAAATTTTGACGTATTAGACATAAAATTAACAAAATCAGAAGAGGGGACTAGGAAAGAGGGAGCGCTAAGTTGTGCTAGAAGAGATGGTAGCCGAGGTTGCTGGTGTTCCGTTCGCTGCAGTTGGCGCTGGAGTCGGTGTAAGCGATTCCTGTGGGTGTAGTAGATTGTCCGTAGGGACTGTCTCGTCGCCGTCCGCATCGGTTGGAAATGTATCGTCGCCGGCCACACTCATTGTGGTATCGATAGGAGAGTGTTGGCCGCTTGAGCGAGGGATGAATTTGGCATTGAGCGCTTCCATATCCTGGAGGGTAATAGGCACCGATGGTGTTGTCTCTTTGATTTTCTTCTTCTTGTAAATAGATATCCCTTTTACTGTTTTGTTGAGGGGAATCCCCTGTTTCTCTACTTTCTTGTTTTGGTCGCTTGTTTTCTTGCCATTCGATCTGATATTGATGGATGGTCTTCTGATTGAGCTCCCTTCTTCGAGGGGTTGAATGTTGATCACATGGATTAAAGTTCCATTTGGACCCGAAACAGTAGTGGTAGATGGGGCCTTGTTTGTGGATGACAGTGTAAAGGGGGAAGCTGCAGATGTGGATGGGCTGGCCCGGTCAGTTGTTGTGGAGGCCGCTATGGGCTCGACCAAGGTGTGAGCATTTGTAGCATGAGGAGCAGGGCCCAGGACACTCTTGTTATAGTTCTTCTGAATTGGGGAAGTACTTGCAGTAATTGCCTTCAACTTATTGTGTGGTTGCTCTTTTAATATACTTCCCGTTGGCGACTTCTTGTTGTCATTAATTTTCAGTATGGATGCTCTGGAGGGATCAGGGAGACATGGATTAATGCCCATACCTTCCATTGAAGGTTGTCGGGTGGTCGCCGGAGTTGGGGATTGCCGTTGTTGAGCTTTTACCCCAATCGGCTGAACCGAGCGGAGATGGGAATTTCCGGTGGTCGCCGCAGGCCGTCCGTCCTTGGTGGATTGATTCTTCATTTGGGGAGTTTGGTTGCCATTCTTATTGGGTCTTCTATGTTTACGTTGAACAACCATCCACAGCCCAAAAGCTTCTTTCGTTGCGGTGGCTTCAGAGGTAGTATCTGATCCAAGTGTGGGGGTTTGCTGTAGAGATGATGTCATTGGGAGGTCTGCAAGCACAAGGCTAGGAGGGGCCTGAGTGTTGGGTGGAGCTTTGCTTTCAGAGCATTCCTCTTCAGAATGACCGATTCGACCGCATGAAAAGCAAACTTGGGGTAGATTCTCGTACTCAATCAGTTGTACAGCTCCATCAAGATAGAAATCTGGGGTTAGAGGCTGTGAAACATCGAGCTCAATTGCAATGCGAGCAAATTTACCTCTTTGGGCTGTTTGAGTATTGTAGTCGATCCTAATCAGCTTACCGATCATGTTACCGATTGCTGTGAGGATGCGAATGTGGTAGTATTGGATGGGCATTGCTGGGAAACGAACCCAGACTACCAAAGTGGCAGGTAGCTTTTCAGTGATGCGGAAGGAGGAGGTCCATTTCCTTACCACTAATTAGTAGTGTCCCGAGATGGTCCAAGGGCCTCCGGTAAGGGCGCGATTCGACTGAGAATTTCACCATGAAGTATCCTTGCTCCAAATCCACCACTTTCATCGTTCCGTTCGGCTTCCATAGGTATTTGAGACTGGAACAGAGATGGACATATCCTATTCCACGGCCCAATAGATTGACAACGACAGTTTGTGTCCATGGGGAGTTGATGTGTTGTCGGAAGGAGTCGGAAATGTCAAGAGCTTTTTTGGTCCCTCGGCGGCCAACGATTACGGCATCTTCCCCTAGCGTTGTATCTTCTGAATCCATCGGGTGTGGTGCAGAAGATCCTTGCTCGAGCACTCTTTTATAGGAAAAGGGGTTATTGGCGGTTTGGGGGTTAGCAGGAGTTGGACTTTTCAAAACCTCTTGGGGCACTCTGCCGAGCGATTGGAGTGGTGGGAAGCTGAAATGGGATGTAGGATTTGGATCTGGCGGTTGAAGTTCGGGAGGAGCCGGTGATGCCGGCATCTCAGCCATGGACGTCCGGCAACTTTCAGAGAGAAAGAGAGAGTGGATTTGAGGTCAAGTGACAGTTCAAGCTTGGACTCAATTGAAGCTTGATGATGGTGGTACAATTGAATTGATTGTTACGTATGAAAAGGTTGAAATGGTGATTAAGAATAATAATAATAACTATTATTATTATTTAAACAAAAAAAGAGAAATGGGAGAACCTGCCCACGTCAACCCTCCCCAGCTATTTAATCCCCCTCCCCTCTCGGTCCCAATGAACCCATATAATTAATCCCAACGTCCCAATAAACCCACGCCAACTGACAAGTACAACAACACATCATGCCATTTTCATGCCCTCATTAATTCATAGTGGCCAATGAAATAGGAAAGAAGTGCAGCAGTTGCAGGACATTGTCGGTGCCCCTCTACAGCTGAAATCGTTCCTTTCCCTTCCATTTCTCATTCTTTCTCTCGACACAAGCAGAAGGCAGGACCTCTTCCATTCTTCCCTTCACCTCTCGGCAACACCAAGCAAGAAACACAGCCCTTCCTTTCATTCCTTCTCTCGACAAACAGACCTTCCATTTCATCCCTTCTTCATCTCGCGCAAGACATCAACAACCTCCCATTCTTCTTTTCTCGGCACCAGTAGCAACTAGTAACCGAGCAGTCTCTTCCTTTCCTTCTTTCCCTCGACAACGAGCAATAGCAGCAGTCGAGCATCACAATCAGTCGTCTCGACCGGAAGCAACCCAGCAGCCCCATCACTCCCCAGTCATCAAACTCATCAACAGCACACGTCAACCTCAATTAAGTTCCCAGGCTACCGTATTGTTGGTCTCAACCTCCATCGTTATCATCCTTCTTGTTTCAATATCATACACGACCCCAATCGGTGAGAATCTCGAACCCAACCCAAGTGTCCTTCGAGTTAAGTTATGCATAACTAATCGTCGTATGTGCGTATTAAAATTTGTAGTTACGGGTAATTGGGTGATAGATAGAGGAGCTCAACGCCAATTTTAGGTCGAACAATCGCCCTCACAAGCTAGGCACGAAGTTGAGGTAACAGGCTAGACCTCCTCGTCCCGTCGATTTAAGTTTTGAGTATCGTAATTTTAATATTCAAGTGTTTATTGGAATTATCGAATTAGTAATAACGGAGAGGTAGTTACGTGGGCTTGCATGCTTGGTTTGTTAAATAGAATAGTGAAACGATTTATTTGAATTTTAGTAACATATGTATGATACGAATAATTATGACGTGATAGGAAATTCGTCGGATGCACGAGTTTTAATTTGAGAATTTTAAGAGCTGTATTAATAGTTACAAAAATTGGCAGAACGTCGGTTTTATTAAATTAAAATCCTATGCGATATTTTTTGTTATGTTTGATAATTTTAGACGTAACTAGAATATCATGAGGTTATTCAAAAAAAATCTGGAGATTATTATAATATATTTAGTATATATAAAAAATGATTTAAATAAGGATTTATTTAAATAAAAGGCTAAACAATAGTTTCTGGGTAAGTAGTAAATTTTGCATGAACTAGAATTACGAATAGATATTACAAAATTATGAGGCGGAGTTTTCAGTATTCGTAGTATGGGTTTAAAGATTTAGTTTTTTTAAGTTTTTTTTTTTTGTTAATTATGGGAATTTTAGGAAGTTTATTTAAAAGAGTTTATTGTTGTATTTGAAATAAATTAATTCATGAGGAATGTTGGGAAATTTTCTTCAAAATATTTAAAAGTGGTTGATGGCCATTTTAAAGGATTGTTGGGACTAAGTATTAAGGAGGATAAATTTGAGCAAGTTAAAAAGGGATAAATTGAGAAATATCAAATAAAAGGATATACGTTTCAATTATAGGTTGAAGATAGCAATTGGAGTAAGGGTTCCATTTCAAGGGAACTAGGTAATCGTCATTTAAGAGGTGAGTGTAATGTGTAAAGAGGGTAAAATCTACGCCTTACATATTTTCAAGTATTTACCTTACGGTAATTAAGTTAGAGATTTGTTGTTGCGTGCCATATATGCTTATGTATGTTGGAATGTATTTATTTACAAGTAATTTACAGTTAAGAAGTAATTTGTCTTTTAAGAAGTATTTCAACTAGGGCTGGCTATTTGGACCGGGACCGGATAAAAAACCGGAAACCGGACCGTATAACCCGGACCGAGACCGGACCGGGACCGGATAGTAAACAATCCAATCCAATCTTTGGGCTTAGATTGGAGGTAAAAAACCGGATAAAGACCGGATAAGAGAGCTCAACACCCAAAACTTAAGGGTAATTTGCATAAACGGTCACAAACCTTTGCACTTAGTACAAAACTTAACCAACTCCTCACCCTTTTAGGCCTTAGGCCACTCAAATTCCCACAATCTCAATATAAAATCAAGACCGAATTGGGACCGGACCGGGTCAAAACCGGACCGGATCAAGACCGGACTGTATCCAATCCAATCTTCGGTCCTTATATTTTCAAAAAAACCGGACTGGACCGGATCAATTTGGGCCAATTTAACCAGACCGGACCGTATAGCCACCCCTAATTTCAACTTTAAGGAAGTGAAGTTTTTTTAAGAGTTTTTAGTCGTTAGCGCCAATCCGTTGCCCATATGGGATTTCAAGATGAGCCACAGTTATTCTCTTAAGACTTTTAAGATGAGCATGCTCTTGAGATTCATGGTGAAGAGCCACCATGATAAGTTTAAGATGTTAGGGGGATGATCGTTACGACTACCCTAACTAAGTTTAAGGAAGCCTCGATGTGCTATCATAGGTATTTGTTGGGCAACCTAACTAGGTAGTGGGAGATCCCAGTGTCGGTCTAAGTTTTATAGTTTTGAGAGTGGGGTTAATAGTAACTCCCACGTTTTAAGAGCTAAAGTTTAAATGGTGGAAGTATAATCAACTTCCACTAATTTTTTGTTTGAGGAACACTTACACTATGTTTGGGAGGGCTGGGGGAGCATTTTTTGGGTGCAAGTGTAGAAACCGAGGTATTTACCTCTGTTTTGATAATTTGAACAGGGACAAGGGGTTACATCATGGGGGCAAATTAACTGTTTGGGGTTGCACCCCAATTTGAGGAGTAAGGAAGAAGGGGAAGAGGGGAAGAGGGGAAGGGATGGGGCCACGTGGGGAGTGTGTGACTGGCAGGGAAAGGGAAGTGGTGGTGGACCAAGAAAGTGAGAAGGTAACGAAAAATGGTAATCGGGTGGGATTTAATTTATTTTATATTTTTTTTTGCATTAAAATCAATACATTATATCTCTTTTGCATCCTCCTACTTTTTCTCACAAACAACAATTTGCACCCACTTTAAATTTGCTCCCCCCTACAATTAACCCCTCAATTTGCACCCCCTTCAAAATTGCACCCCCCTTGTTGCCAAACAAAGCGTTAAGCTAAAAATATATAAGTGATTCAAGTTTAAGTAATAGCGTAGACTGACCCAAACTCACTCACCAGATCGTAGAGGATGAGATCGAGATAAGATAGTTCGTGGCCAGCAGGCTAGAGGGGCTCAACATCAGTGTCGTTGAAGAATGGCATACCAGGCGTCAGAGTAAGCGCGAAGGACTCTTTTAAGTTATTTGGACTTTGTGGTAGTGAGTTAAGAACTAGAGATTCTAGTCGTTTTTTTCATACGGTTTGAGTTTTGCCCACATGTTTAGGGCTTGTCATTTGAGATTTCGAGTCGTTAAAGTTTGGTGTCATTATTTCAAGTGAGTTTGTGTGATTTCTAAATATACCTCGGGGTAGAAATGTCTTTTTCATGGTTTAGAATGGTGGGTTGTTTCACGTACCACTGTCTATAACATATTATTGGATTGCAGAGTAATCCGTATCACAAGGAACGATAGAAAAGGAACAAAGTTCAAGCCCTCTGCCCCATTTACAAAGTTCAAACTGTCTCATTTATACCCAAAAATCATAATTTCCTGATCATCTAATTAATAATTGTTCAAATCTCAGAAACCTCTAGACTCGAACAAAATAGAACATTCCTTATCGCAACATCCCCAAATCCAATCATTCTTCAAAGGAACTATCCTTTCCCCTCTCCCTTTCCCCTCTCCCTTTCCTAACGTTCCAAGACACAGAACTCGCGAGAATTAAAACAACACAGCAAAATAGAGACCCTTCAACGTAGTATAAATTAAAACATAGATATTAATAAATGAACTTACCAGGAGATCAGGAGATTCTGCAGACGAGTTGATAGTCTTTCTATACAGCAACAAATTCTTAGATGGATACATAAAGTAGTTGAAGATGCATGTCGGTTTCAGCTCCAAAGAGCGGGTGCTTTGTTTCTTTTTCGGGTCAGACGAAGAACAGGTTTGACTTTGAGAGAGGCCCTTTCTTTACTTTTCACGCGAATGTGTTGTTTTCCCTTCTAAAATGTTTCATTTATACTTCTCTATTAAGGAGCTTCTTTTTATTTATTTTAATGAATTCGCCTCTGAAAAAGAAAACGTATGTGCATATGGAATTGGAAAAGGGGTTAAGTACTTCTTTTCTTTCCTCTTTAATCATAATGAAAAATAAATTTAGTCTTTTTTCGTTCTTCTTCATTCATAATGAGTGATCAAGTTAGTTTTTTTTACGTGAAACCTGTGAACTTTATTACTCAAGGTTATTGTTTACATCATCCACTTTCAGCTGGTCAACAATAAAAACTGGAGGCCTGTCTACTCATACCAATCGTTCTTCCCAAACTTTCATGGAGTGCGTCATCATATGAGCTGCCCTATTTGCTTCTCGCTTAATATGCTTATAGCTGCCCGCTCCGAGATCCATCATCATTCGCTTTATATTCCTGATCACAACTCCAACTTCCGTCTCAATGCAAAGCTGGCTATTCAGTTTCTGTATCAAAGAGAGGCAGTCGCTCTCTAAAATCAGGTTTGACATCTGCATATTGGTTGCCAGCTGCAACCCCATCTTTATTGCGAGTGTCTCTGCTCAAGTTAGTCTTAAGTCTATATAATTAATATAAAAATATTAATTAGTAATAACTATCAAATTCATATATATAACATTTTTTTATTACTTGTTGCGTAAAATATAAGAATATGTAACATGTCTAATTTTATTGCACAAGTGTTGCATATTAGTAGGAATACGGGACATAATTTATTATGCGCCTAATTTGTGTTGCATAAGTTATACATTAGGAAACACATAATGATAGTTTTTTCTATATATTTTATGTGACACTTCTAAAAGCTTTTGTATAGTTTCTGAAATCAATCATCATGAATCCAATTATTCCTATTGACCTTTAATAATCTTACAATATGAATTTTCGGGGAATCACATATGTCAAAATTAATTCCATGGTATAACTTAGATTTTCAATGGAGGACTTTCACCCAAAGAAAGAAGAATTAACATCTCAATGGTCATGCAATTGCAACTCCCCCACCAATTCATGTGTGTTCACTTTGACCTAATTGGATTGTTTGAGAGAGTACATGTTCAGTTAAGAAAGTCCCCTGACATTCTTCGTGAGTGGCTCATAGCACTCCCCGAAGCTTCTTCTTCAATTGTTTGAAGATTTTGCTTCCATTTTATTGATACGACTTAAATCAAATTATGTGTCGTCAAATGGAAGCCACGACTCTCACTCTCATGCACACTTGACGTATTCATTGAATCTATCTCGATCATGTCATTATAATGGACTCATATCCAAACTTCAAGATTATCTTCCCTCGGCTACATCGATGATGTTGGAGTAAGGAAAGTCGGAAATAAATCAAAGGAAATCATGCCAGCTGCAAAGTTTCCATATCTGCAAGAGTTGCCATTCTTGGAAGATTTTTGAATGCAACGGTCGGCCTGCAAAACAGTATAAATTCATCAGAGTTCCTCATTGTTCATTATCTCTTGTAAAAGCGGTATAGGGCTGTTTAAGAGTGGGTTAATCAGTGCAGAGGAATAGGTCTGGCTGATTAACGGTGTAACGGGTCTGGGATTGGGATCCGGGTTGATTGTTCTCTTCGGTTACATTTTTGTGTCTTTTGCATAAATTTGCTTGATAGGAAAACATCAATAAAAAGAGTCTCCTAGACCTCAGTGAAGTACTGAGTCTAGGACGAGGAGTGACCAGTAGATTGGGAACCTCGTTAAAATCTGCCTGTGTCCTCACTTCTGCCTGTGATACTCTGTTTCTGTTCTTTACTCTGTTTTTGTTCCTTTCTCTGCTACTGCTCGAGGATCTTCTTCAGTTCAAGGAAGAAGATGAGAGCCTCTCTGATCAAACTGTGGGCCGAAATAAGCAGGCCTTAATTTGTGTTTATTTCTGTTAAGTTATTAGTCAGTGGGCTTGTGAAATTGTTTGGGCCCAATCTGGAAATAAAAGGAACCAAGACACAGAACGAGATTCTCTCTCTTCGTGTTCTCTGGTTCTCCCTCATTTCCGTTTTCCCAATTCCTTTCGTTTTCCCCAAATTTCTCTTGAACCCTAATTTGTTTCTGATCTCTTTTCTTGTCTAATAAGTGGCATCAGAGCCAGGCCTTGACGTAGTTCACTACTGCCAAGGTTTCCGTTCCATGGCGACCAGTTCCTTTGGCCAAGCAGCTTTAAATCACCCACCAATTTTTACCGGGGCGAACTATACGGCATGGAAGAAACGGATCAAGCAGTTCATGTGGGGAGTTGATGAAGAATTGTGGCTGATAGTCCAAAATGGTCCTATTGCTATGAACGCTGACGAACAGGATCAATGGACTGCTGCTCAGAAAAAAAGTGCCCAATTAAATCAACGGGCGATGCATGTTCTTCAGTCGGCAATGAATCCCGACGAAGCTGATCAGGTCGAAAACTGTGAGACTGCAAGGGAGATTTGGATTGCTCTGGAAAGCACCTACGAAGGTACGTCCAATATCCGTGAGTCTCGTATTGATCTGTTAGTCCATGAGTATGAAGCCTTCTCTATGCTAAATAACGAATCAATCCATGAGATGTATTCCAGATTCACTGTTCTCATTAATAAACTTAAAGGTCTAGGTCGTACTTTTCAGCTTAAGGATCTTAATCGTAAGATTCTTCGATCATTACCTAGAGAATGGTTACCTAAGCGCACTGCTGTTGAAGAAGCAATAAACCTGACTACTTTACCTATAAATGAGTTGATAGGGTCTTTGCTGAGTCACGAGAATGTTATAAAGCAAGTTACGCATGATGATGAAAAACGAAAAAAAACTCTGGCTTTTAAATCTAGGACTGTGGATTATGAGTCTGATGATGATTCTACTAGTGATTTTGATAAAGAGTTTGCTCATGTTAGCAAAAAATTCCATCGCATGCTTAAGTACAAAAACGATCAAAAAAGGCGTCAGGATGACTCAAAATTTGTTGCCACTGATCGTTATAAAGTTGTTTCTCAAGACAGGCTGCCTAACCAGCAGACCAGATTTTTAGAAACAGGTAATTCTGATCGAGAAGCTCAAGCATGCTATAAATGTGGGAAGGTTGGCCACATCCGCGCACACTGTCCTCAGACTATCAAGGCTAAAGAACGAGCTATGAAGGCGACTTGGAGTGATTATGAATCAGAACCAGAAGAGGATCAAGAAGATAACTTAGCATTCATGGCCTTCAGCAATAATTTTAACAATCAAACCGAACTGTCATCTCAGGCTACTGAATCAGGTATTATCAAAGCTGATCATTTATGGTATCTTGACAGCGGGTGTTCCCATCATATGTCTGGTAAGAAAGAACTCTTCTCTGCTCTTCAGATTAAAAGGGGAGGAAAGGTTATTTTTGGTGTTGATAGTTTCGGCACTATTGTTGGAACAGGAACCATAGGAAAACAGCCTTTACCTGTGATCAAAGATGTTCTTCTTGTAGAAGGACTTAAACATAATTTGCTCTCCATTAGTCAACTGTGCAGTAGTGGTAATAAAGTTAGTTTTGAATCTTCACGGTGCATAGTTGAGCGAATCAGTGATGGAATGATTCTTTTTGTTGTGTCTAGGCAAAATAATATGTACATCATTGATCTTCAAAACCTAGATGCCTTTAATGAGTACTGTTTTGTTGTATCTTTTCAGCAAGAACTTCTGTGGCATAGGAAACTTGGACATATTAGTTTGCCAAAACTAACCAAGCTGACCAAATTAAACCTTGCAAGAGGAATTCCGTTGCTTAAAGATAAAGCAAATTTTTTTTGTGAAACGTGTATTTCTGGAAAACAGACTAGAAAACCTTTCAAATCTAAGACAGACATTACTTCTTCTAGTGTGTTCGAACTGATCCATATGGATCTGTTTGGGCCATGTAATGTTACTAGTCTTGGAGGAAAGCATTATGTGTTTGTTCTAGTCGATGATTACTCCAGATTTACATGGGTTTTCTTTCTTGCTCATAAGGCTGAAACTTTTGCAAAATTCAAAACTTTTGCTTTATTACATGCTGATAAACTCAAGACTGTCAAAAGTGATAATGGGGGGAGTTCATTGTGGATGAGTTTGAAACTTTCTGCAATGATACTGGGATCTCACACATTTTTTCTGCTCCTCGCACTCCACAACAAAATGGAGTTGTTGAGCGCAAAAATCGGACGAGTGTGCTCGTACTCTGCTCTTGGAATACAATTTACCAAAGTACTTCTGGGCTGAGGCAGTTAGTACTGCGTGTCATGTTATAAATTGTGTTATCATTAGAAAGACTCTAAATAAAACCCCTTATGAGCTTCTTAAAAATAAACCTCCTAATATTTCTTATTTCCACCCTTTTGGTTGTCCTTGCTATGTTCTGAATACTCGTGATCAGCTAGGAAAATTTGATTCTAAATCAGATTTAGCAATATTTCTGGGGTATTCTGTTCGTGGTCAGGCTTTTCGTGTTTATAATAAGCGTACTCAGAAAGTAGAAGAGTCGGTCCATGTTAGATTTAATGAAATGGTTCCTCCTGGAGAATCATCATCCATTCCCTTATCTTTTGACCTATCTGAGTTATCTAATAGTTCAGATCAGTGCCTAGAAGAAGAAGCACCTACTAAAACAAACAGCTCTGAAGCTGATGAAAAGGAGGAATCTGAAGTGACAAACAAGATGAATGATCCTGTTTCAATTCCTACTGCTCCGCCACACATTCAGAAGCGGCATCCAGCTGCTCAAGTCATTGGGGACATCACAGATGGCCTAAAAACCAGAGGTAAATATGTACCAGGTCAGTATGCCTATGTTTCCCAAGTTGAACCGAAATCTTATAAAGATGCTCTTGAAATTGAAGAATGGGTGTTTGCTATGATTGAAGAATTAACTCAGTATGAGTATCTGCATGTTTGGGATCTGGTTCCTCGACCTTTAAATGTTACTATCATTGGAACTAAATGGGTGTTTAGAAATAAATCTGATGAGTTAGGAATAATTATTCGTAATAAGGCCAGGTTAGTGGCTCAAGGTTATTGTCAAGAAGAAGGAATTGACTATGACGAGACATTTGCACCTGTTGCAAGGCTCGAGTCTATTCGTCTTCTATGTGCTTTTGCGTCTTATATGGGTTTTCCTTTATTTCAAATGGATGTCAAGAGCGCTTTCTTAAATGGAGTCATAGAAGAAGATGTCTATGTTGCTCAACCACCTGGTTTTGTAGATCATAGATATCCTGATCATGTTTTCAAACTAAACAAAGCCTTGTATGGACTTAAGCAAGCCCCTCGTGCTTGGTATGATCGTTTGACATCTTTTCCTCACGATCAGAACTTTGTCCAAGGGTCAGTAGACAAGACTTTGTTTATCAAGCATGAATCCAATGATCTGCTTCTTGTTCAAATCTATGTCGATGACATAGTTTTTGGCTCGACAAATACTCAGATGTGTTCGTCATTTTGTGAATCCATGAAAAGTGTTTTTGAAATGAGCCTCATGGGTGAATTAAAGTATTTTCTCGGTTTACAAATCAAACAAACACCTCATGGAATTTTCATTAATCAATCAAAGTATGTGTCTTCTATGCTTCAAAAGTTTGACATGACAGCTCTCAATGCTTGTCCTACGCCGATGGCAACCAATGTCAAACTTGATTTAGACAAGACCGGTGAGTTGGTTGATGAATCTAAATATCGAGGCATGATTGGCTCCTTGCTTTATTTAACTGCAAGTAGGCCTGATATTCAATATGCTGTGTGTCTTTGTGCTCGTTTTCAATCCCAACCTAAACAAAGTCATCTTACAGCAGTAAAACGTATTTTTCGATATTTAAAAGGCACGATTGATGTTGGAATTTGGTATGCCAAGCAAGATCAGTTTGACCTTCTTGGATATACTGATTTTGACTTTGCTGGAAGCCTAACTGATCGAAAAAGTACTTCAGGCTGCTGTCAGTTTGTTGGCACGTCCTTGATATCTTGGTTTTGTAAAAAGCAAGGAGCTGTGGCTCTGTCCACGGCCGAGGCAGAGTATATTGCTGCCGGCAGCTCGTGTGCTCAGCTTCTGTGGCTTAAAAGTCAGCTAATTGATTATGGTTTAAAAGTTTCTTCTATTCCTCTTTACTGTGATAACACTAGCGCGATTTGTATGACTAAGAATCCGGTTCAGCATTCACGAACCAAGCACATTGATATTAAATACCATTTTATTCGTGAACTTGTTAAGGATGGTCATATCTCATTGCATCATATCCCTACAGAATTCCAATTGGCCGATTTATTTACTAAACCTCTAGCTGCAGATCGCTTTACCTTTTTATGCTTTGAAATCGGGCTTCGCTCTCTGTCATCTCTTACAGAGTTGATAGGGGATATAGGATCCTGAGGAGATTCTTTAGGGATTCTGTCTTGTTGTATTTTTCAATTTTTCTTGTCTTGGTTCGTTAATATTATTTTCCTGTGGTGATTTTCTTTAGTTACCTTTCCTGTAGTCTTTAATGGTTCATTGTCTCTACGATTCTTCTTTCCTTTTGTTTTGCTCTCTGTGTTTGGTAAGTTGCGTACTTTCTTCTCTTTGAGTCTTTTCCTTTAGTATTTATAGGGGCTTTAGTCGAGTTAGTTTTCTCATCAACCCTTGTGTCAATCCCTTGTCCTTTGAGTCTGAGCCATGGCAGTTCCCTTCCTTCGCACTTTTACTGGTACCATGTTTTTGGATCCTATTCCAGCCAATGCTCATCGTCACACTCTGTTCTTTGAAAACCGTCAGATTCTGCCTACTTACCATGTTCAGCTTGATGAACTGGCTGAGGTAGGACTTGATGTGCGTCCTTTTATTCAGAATCTAGGCTGGGACTTTTTGTTGCACCATCCCTTTTCAACCGTGGTTTGTCCGGATGCTGTTCGCTTTTTTTACTCAAACCTTCGGTTTACTGATGTGCACTCTCGATTTTTTTACCACCCTTGTTTTTGGCAATCTCCTCACAATTCCTGTTGCTGAGATCGAGCGTGTTCTTCACATTCCTGTCGTAGGGGAGAATCTTGCTAATGAGTCTGAGCTGGGTCTGTTCAATTTTGATCTTTCGGAAGAATTCCATCAGCTTACTGGTAAGTTTCCTGGTCCAAATCTGTCTATGCCTGTCACTGCCCTTTTGCCTTCTCTCAGAGCTCTACACTTTTTCGTCTCTCGCATGCTTTTACCTCGCTCTGGGAACATGATGATGATAACCCCTGTTGAACTTTGGGTCTTAGCTCATGCTGCTCATGGTATCCCTTTAAATTTTGCTCCCTTGTTCTTTGGGTCTATCACTTCCTTCTGTGATGTGGGCATCTCTTCCCCACTTCCTTTTGGTTCTCTCATCACCACCCTTCTACTTCGTCTTCATATCAAACTCCATCCATTCATGACCATCACCCCTACCATTTTTCTCTCGGCCGACGATGTCATGGACCTTCTAGAAATAGCAGTTGAGGGGGAGAATGGTGACAATGATAACAATGGCGATGGCGAAAATGGCAACAATATACTAGTCATCAGCAGTGATAGCAGTGATTCTGACTCTGATTCCTCAGGCGACTCTAACGACGCACCAGAACTGGAGCCGTTTGCTGCTGCTCTCCAAGCTCTTTATGGATCTGATTCGGACAATGAAGCAGCATAGTGATAGGGACTGGAGGTTTTGTGTTTAGACCAGGCTGTGGTCTTCTTTCTTTGAGAGCTCGAACTTAGGGGGAGGATTTACTTTGTCTGTTTGATTCTTTTCTTGCCTGACTTTACTTTGGTGGTTTGCCTGACCTGGCTGTGGTCTTTGATGATTGCTCCCTGAATGCTGGTTGTTTTTAAGTTATAGACTTTTTGATGATTTTTGCTTGTGGAGATAGTTTGTTTATCTTGCAGGATCATCAAGCATATCAGACCTTCTGTGCTTTTGATGAAATTTTGTGGAGAAAGTTTGCTTGTTTTGCAGGATCACTAGGCAACTCGCTATTTCCAACTTAGGGGGAGATTGTTGGAGTAAGGAAAGTCGGAAATAAATCAAAGGAAATCATGCCAGCTGCAAAGTTTCCATATCTGCAAGAGTTGCCATTCTTGGAAGATTTTTGAATGCAACGGTCGGCCTGCAAAACAGTATAAATTCATCAGAGTTCCTCATTGTTCATTATCTCTTGTAAAAGCGGTATAGGGCTGTTTAAGAGTGGGTTAATCAGTGCAGAGGAATAGGTCTGGCTGATTAACGGTGTAACGGGTCTGGGATTGGGATCCGGGTTGATTGTTCTCTTCGGTTACATTTTTGTGTCTTTTGCATAAATTTGCTTGATAGGAAAACATCAATAAAAAGAGTCTCCTAGACCTCAGTGAAGTACTGAGTCTAGGACGAGGAGTGACCAGTAGATTGGGAACCTCGTTAAAATCTGCCTGTGTCCTCACTTCTGGCTGTGATACTCTGTTTCTGTTCTTTACTCTGTTTTTGTTCCTTTCTCTGCTACTGCTCGAGGATCTTCTTCAGTTCAAGGAAGAAGATGAGAGCCTCTCTGATCAAACTGTGGGCCGAAATAAGCAGGCCTTAATTTGTGTTTATTTCTGTTAAGTTATTAGTCAGTGGGCTTGTGAAATTGTTTGGGCCCAATCTGGAAATAAAAGGAACCAAGACACAGAACGAGATTCTCTCTCTTCGTGTTCTCTGGTTCTCCCTCATTTCCGTTTTCCCAATTCCTTTCGTTTTCCCCAAATTTCTCTTGAACCCTAATTTGTTTCTGATCTCTTTTCTTGTCTAATAGATGATTGTCATGGTCATTGGCAAGAAATGTTCTTCCAAGTGTGAGAGGTACTCTCTTGTTTCCCTCCATATCCAAAATAACAAAGTCAGTCCGAGAAACAAAATGACCTACCTTCATGCGAACATCATCTACAATCCCCATATTGAAAGAGTAGTTTAATTTTGTTTTATATTTTATTTTTAAATTTTTCGGTCATCTAATTCGAATGTGTCACCTAGCACTCTCTCTTTTTCTTTTCGATTCCCCCACTAGTTTTAAATAATCACTATTTATTTCATTTCATTTCAATTTCAAGTTTATTTCATGTACAAAATGATATCCATTTTTATATATTTTGAAATTAAAAAAAATCCAAAGACATGGTCACAATCACATACTCACGCTCCTATTCGACAGAGTTACTAAACTATGCAATATCATTTAATCATGTACCATCATACACGACTGACTCATATACTATCATAACTCACCAATAATATACACAATATTTTCTAGTTTTAATTTGTAACATCATAATACAAAAGAATTTTATGGTGTCAAAAACATTATCATGAGGCACAAACAAATTAACTTAACAAAATATGGTCTTCCTGCCTACTAGCCGAGCTCAAATCTAGTATAGATAAGAATAAGAGTGATTTGTGTAAAAAAATGAGATTAAAAAAATTAAAGTTGATACGCAATAAAATAATAATGAATAAATAAATATGCATGTGCTTATAGAAGGTAGCAACCGGATGAGATAAATATACACTCATTGCTGATGCTGACGATCAAGTCTGAGACTTTATGAAACACCCCAATTTGTCTTAAAACCAATTATTTAAACATAACAAAAATAATTTTAACATAACATTAAACATACTCAAAGAGAAGATGATATTTCATGTCAAGGTACAGAATATCCACCACAAAATTTCCCGTTTGGAAACATGTAACTCATTTGGATCACATAGTAGTCTCAAATAAACACAAGTAAAAGAACTCAGGAATACGTCAAAGGTTCAAGATTTATTATGTGACTGGCTTTTAAAAGAAAATGACCAGAACATAATCTGATTTCCATGTAACACTAGGAGCCAAATAGAGGGGATAACGAGAGATGATGACGGTGCCGACCTTTCAGCCATCGTAGTGTAGCAATCAGTGCTCTGACTAAATTTTGATGGGATCAGTTCTTGAGAAAGTGAGCGGTAGAGAGATGTGAGTATAAAAATACTCAACAAGCATACACTAATCCGCAAGGACTAGTGCCCATAAAATATAACCTGTAGGAATACCGAACAGAAACAGTACAAGTAACAGAGATTAAGTGACTACCCGATTACAAAGGTATGACCAGAAATTATGTGTATGCTTCCGTGTTACTTAGATTTATTATGGCGCCACTCAGCCGCATCTACCACCTCCACCCATGGGTATCAGAAACAGGGTTTTAAGCAGAATACAGAGTCCCGTGTAGAGGTGGCAATTTCAATCCAATCCACCAATCCAATCCATCAATCCATTAAAAATATCCACCTAATCCAATCCATTTAAATCCAATCCATTTGATCCAAATCCAATTGGATTGGTGGATTCATGGATTGGATCCATGGATCATTGGCAAATCGCTGCTAATTTTTAAGGAAATCGTTGTAGCAACGGGTTGTTGCAGGGGTTCTATAACCCTTACTACAGCCTTAAACTTAAATATATCGCATTCTCTTTCCTTTCCTAACATTGCTTTAGGAAATCCCTCTTCCCTAATTCGGATTTTGATTCTTCTTCTTTTCAGTCCCTGTTCGTCGAAAGATTTCGTCGGAGTGAAAGAGATTGGAAAATCGCCACGGAGCGACGAGAGATCCAGTTCGGAGAATCACGGCGGAGCGGCGAGAGATCAGGGAATAATTAGACAAGTCACCAGAATCAGCGATTCCAGTCTCCCTCACTCGATCTGGCTGATGAGGCGATTCTCTGGTATTCCTCACTTACGCCGGCTGAAAGGTGATACTTGAATTTCTTTTTCTCGCTCGCACTCTCCCTTGCTCGATCTCTCATTTCTGAGCTCCGATTAGGTTTCTTAGGGTTTGTAGTGCGGTTGCTGCCGCTGGCTGCATGCAATAGTGAGTACATCTAGAACATGCGATTCAATTTGGTGTCATGATTTTAATGTCTTGGCTTCTCGGGAGCCTATTACATGTGTTAGAATTCTTGTCTTCTCGGTAGCCTATTTGGTGTGTTAGAACTCTGTTTCTTAATATATTCAAAGTGGTTTGGAGGCTGCATTTCCACAAGTTATTCTATCTATTCTAAACACTTGTTGTAGTTCTTTGTTTTGAATTTAATCTATAAGGGGAATGCCTCTATCGTAAGCAGCTGCTAGCATCCCAGCTTTGCTTTTATATTAGTTGGAAATTTGTACTAAGTAGAGGAACTTTGAGTGTTGCTGCTTCTTGTAACCTGTTAGGCATGTGCTCTTCAGAGTTGTTGATCGTCAAACTGTCTATGAAAGCATGATTATTGGTGGGTAGATAAATCTTAGAAGTGAAGCTCTTTTTTTGTTAACTTGTCCCTCCGATGAAGTTATTGGGTTGTTACTTGTTTGTCATGTTGTCTATCATCTTGTTCAATTGGTGTGTCCAATAAGCTGAAGCACTCTCTCTGTTAACTCGTATCTTGATGAAATTAGTGTGATCTACACTGGGTTTGTTCCTTGAACTAGATTTATCTAACATATAATAGGGATGGATCAGAATTATTATCCAACCACTAAGAACAAGCTTGGATCTATCATATAATTTTAGAGAGATTTATTGACTCAATTTTAAGGGTTTTTTTTTGTGATAGTCATCTGTTTGCTTTACTATTAAAAAACAGAGTTCCACCATGTTGTTTCTTCTTAATATTTTTTTTACTTTACGGTAGAATTAAGAAGCTTAACACATAAGCTTGTGGCCATTTATGCAGAAATTTCTTATGGAAGCAAAGAGGCGTCTTGGAGAGATTCTATCCGCCTTGAATTTATGGACAGTGTCGCGATGGATGTGGTATGACTACTCTACGGCTTGGATCTTTTTCTTGTCCTTCAATTGAATATTTCTTGAGTGTTAAGAAAATGCTGCCATTTTTTGCATTGTTATATTTCTCACTCTATTTTATCATACGGCTACTTATTCTACTATGTGCATTAGGTTTTAAACAATCTAGATGGTGTTCGGAATCCACTGGCTCCCACTAAGCACAACTTTTATGTTTTGATTGAGACAACAGGCAGCGAAGAGTCCTATGACAATTGACAAGTATCTTCTTCCTCGGTTTTCATTTGTGTTTCAGCATGATTGTGTTAATATCATACGATTAAGCTCTTTGTTGTTAGTTTAAAGTAATTACTTATGGTGCCATTGTTCTCACTGTTGAGAAGTATAAATGGCCAAATGGGTGCTATCCTATAGAAATTTCAAGTTTATTGCTGCTATCTTGTAGTCATCCGTGTCTTTGTAAGGCTTGGTTTGCCGTTCTATGCTACATTTCTGCTAGATCTAGTTCTGGATCGCAGTTTTCTCTCGATTGATACTCTGCATTTCCACTTGTATTTGCATAGGGTTAGAGATATTAATGGGCATGTGAGCAGCATTGCACCAAGGTTCCAAGATGGTCTTAAAGCCTTCTTTTACATGTAATTTTCGCGATTTTAATTTTCCGAGCAATAAAAAAAATCGATTATAATTTTATCTCTTGCATCTATCTCAGTGTGATCAGCAGACACAATTAGAAGCTACTGCATCCCTCCTTCATTTACTGCATGTGTTTCATTTGATAGATTAACAATGAGTTCTCAATACTTCCTTCTCTTTTTTCTCTCTCCGGATTATAGATTATGGTTTCTTAATATAAACCTGTTTTCAGTTTGGTGCATCGTTTTTACTCTGATTTGGTAATGTTGTCTTTTCCCGCCCTACAGTATGGAGTTCCCTTGTAGATCAGCTGCTGGTGAAGGTCCCCTGGTTTCTTTTTGTGGATAAGATGGTGTTATTAGAGTTCTTTGATGATCTCGTGGAAGGTTGTGGCTTCTTGAACCCAGAAATAAGAAAGGATAGAACAGATAATTGTTTTTGGTGTTGCATACTTGCTGCTTTTAGTAATCGATAATTTTTTGTTGCAGCTTGTACACAGATACACGTGAGGTCATAAAGGCGCCATAGCTTGCTTGATGACCTTCATGGCTTCCTCTGGTGAGGTAGTTCTTTCATTCCAGTGTTGCATTGATTTTGATATATATTTGAAATCATGGTTAGCACTTCTAAAGAACGCATCATGTATGCTCTCATTTGAGCTCATATTGATCTGTAACTCGGAATGATTTGCCCACGATTATAATTAATTTGACTAGGCGCTACTTTTTCGGGCGGTAGTGATGGTCTACTTGTGATTTGGAGCGCTGACCATGTTCATGATTCAAGGGAGCTTGTGCCCAAGCTAAGTTTAAAGGTGGGTACCTTTCTCTTCCTAGTCTTATCATTCTAGTTCCGGAAGCTCATATGTAGCTTGTGATTCAAATGAGAATGCACTACCTTCTTGGATTTGTTCTCAATATTTAATAATGTTTGTGAAGGTACCCCAGAAATGATTCATGAGTAAAGTAAACAGTGATGTTGCTAAGAACAGTTAACGAAGGTAAGGAAACCAATGGTGGCGAGGTTGTCAGTAAGAAAGTTTCGGGACAAAAGTGGATGGAGGATGTTGAAAACAATTAGGTACTGTCTTGTCCACTGTTGCTTCTTCCATTTAGGAACTAAATCTTATTGCATGAGTGGACAAGAGCAAGACATGTGATTTTGTTAAATTATGTTATTGTTTCCTTCGTTACCTACCCTCTTTATATGTAAACAATATTTGTGACCAAGAATCTTAAAGTTGTTCTCTCATGTTTGCGCATACAGGTTGACTTCATGAAAAATGGCAATCCGAGACAACAACTACTACTCCATGTATGCAATTGAAGCCACCTTTCATACACCTGAAACGGTATGCACATCCTCCACGTTGCCTTTTTGAAGGATTTGGGAAATGATGTACTCCTACTCCATCTTTGGGTCCCTAAGTTTCGTGAAATGATGTCGTGAAGCTCTTATTTGAAGAATTTGGGATCGTGATCTACTCATGTTGCTTTGAATCGTACTTTTTAGTGATTGAAATAATATGAGCATACCGTGTTTCTTTGCATTATGCTCGAATGTTTATGGTGTTCAGCATTTAGCCATGTAAACAATACTATTTTGGTGGGTATATCGTATAATATGAATGTCTATTGTGACAAGGTTATGCACAACCATATCTAATGCTTCTATTAGTAACTAACTTTTAGTGACGACTGAGATGGTCGCAAAATGTTCTGATTTGGTCGCAAAGTATGCAAAGGGTTTATAGTGACCAAAATTTAGTGACGGCTCGTTTCGACACAAAATGATTTTACTTTCCCCACAATTATTCAAGGGGTTTATAGTGACCAAACTTTAGTGACGGCTTTACTTTTGTCACAAATTATGTAAGGGAATTAACACTCGCAATTATTGCTATATTGTCCTATAGCAAGGGTTTTAACCCTTGCTAGTTGTAGCAATGAATTTAGCAAGGGTGGTAACCCTTATTACAACAATCTTTGAGGGGAATTTTACAAAGATGTGTAGCAAGGGTTGTAACCCTTGCTATAACCCTTGGAGGGTACTTCCACCAAGGGTCGCTTAAAACCCTTGCTAGACATAGCAAGGGCAGCTTTGCCAAGGGTTCGTCCAAGGGTTGACAGAACCTTTGCTACAGCTTGTAGCAAGGGTTAAAACCCTTGCTATGACTGAAAATAACCCTTGGCATAAGGCCTCTTTTTTGTAGTGGTGGAGATTTGGCCAAGTTTTCAGAGTTCTTCTAATTGAATGTTATGCTCATGGTACTTGTACTGAACGATTCACATAAACTTCGCACAACAAATAAAAAGACCCAATTAAGTACCAATGACGAATTCACAACATATAAGATATATCACAAAACTTACTAATCGATATTATAACTAACATGCATGTTACGGGCCAGAACATCACTGAAACTCTTACGAAATTCGACAGTCTCATCAAAATTCACGACTAAGTTGTTCCTCCTCGAAATGACAACGTTGTTATTAGACCTCTCGTCTCACCGCCGTAATTGCAAGTTCAATCCTCCGCCAACAAGCCCGAATTCCCGCTTCATATTCCAATTCATATTAATTACAAGTTAAGTTGCGTATCTGTGTATGAGGATTGAGGTCTAATAAGCATTAACGGATCTATGGGGCTTACCGTGATTAAACTTCCATCAGATGCCGCAACGTCTCGGATGCGTAGTTACCACTCTCTTGCCGACAAGACAAGACAAGACAAGACAACTTCATAGATCGATCATACGCTCTCGCTCGCTAGCTTGTTGTGGGAGATATAGAAACTGCGCCGTCTCCTTCTTTCGGTGGTCTTATTTAATCTCGGGGCGCCTCTCCCATTAACTGTCCGGCAGCCTAGTAGTTGGAAACGTGAGGTTCATTAATGGCCAATGCAAATGGACGTCAACCTCCAGCTCGCTCACGTAACTACTCCAGCTCTCGTTGCGTCCACATATACGATGTGATTTTCTTATTTATTTCCATACGTGGTGGATGCATATAATTAATTAATTATACGCATGGCCCTCTAACGTGGCTCTTTGTGTCGGGTTCATTCATGTATTTGCAAGACATATATATGGCACATGAGTCCAGTCCATGCATAATTGATTGAGGTTTACACCTGGCTCACTCTTCATCGGTGACGATTCCATTGATCACTTTTCTTTCACTAGTACGTATTTAATTAATTTCCTTGGCTTTCGAGTTTGTTGCGATCATTGAGACGGGGATCGTCACTAATTAATTCTGCAACAATATTATCGGGATGTTACACTTTACGTATTGTTGGACCGAACAGAGAACTCTATATAAACCCGGCCGGCCGGCCGCATACATTATTATTTCCGAAAACCTTCCAAGCATAGAAAAATAGTCACGACTATGGACCTTTCCTCCCAACTCTTGGCACTCTCAGGAGTTCTACTCAGGGGCGGACCCAGGGAGGTTTAGGGGTGTCCCCGGACACCCCTAAATTTTGAGAAAACGATTATCCAACCCCGGTGGTAATTTATGTATGGACAAAAAAAATATAATTGATAGTGAGGGACACCCCTTAAATTTGAAAAAAATGATTATCCTACTGTCATTTGTGTATAGGAATATAAGTGGTAGGTTGAATAATTCAAATCTAGAACACTATTATTATTAATAAACTTAATTTCCGTTGAGCTAAACTCATTTGTTGTTTGATTTTGAACAATGTGTAATAGTAAAATGACATTCCCTATCTCTATTTATTTTAAAAACCTAACAATTAAACTAATTTCAAACTACCCTTAATTTGTATTGATTTTATAATTGTACGACAAGTGTTGAAAGAGTCTTTCAGCTTTGGGTTACATCAAGAACAAGTTTACAAATCAAATATGCGATAATTTCGTGAATGATTGTCTAGTAGTGTATATAGAGACAATGTTTTTAACACTATAGACACCAAGTGTATTCTACAATTATTTTCGAATATGAAAATACATCATGGACTTTTTTAACCTGTACGAGTAAGGTATTTTCATAATTACAATTTTATTTTTATTAATTATTCTTATTTTTATTTAATTTATTTTTTAAAAGAGGACACCCCTATGAAAAATTTCCGGGTCCGCCACTGGTTCTACTCCTTATCCTCATCCTATCACACACGAAGCTAGGCAGACAAAACAACCCCCGTTCGCCGCCACCAAATTCCCGAAATCCCCGCCGGTCTGCTCATCATCGGCCACCTTCACCTCCTCCTCTGCGGCAATGACGACCTGCTCTGCCGCTCGCAGACGAGCACGGAAGTGTTGGGATTTTTTAATGATCCAATGAAAATGAAAGGGGAAAGATCCAATAGAATCTCTCTTGAAGTACCATGTTGATAAGATGTGGGAAGGCATGGCCTCGAATTCGATCGGTTTGATGTAATATGTGGTTAATCGGTCAAATTGGTTTGTGTAACCAAACGGACCAAACCAAACTGATTTGAACCAAATCGAACCAAACCAATATGCCGATTGGAATAACCAAACCGGTCCAACTATCATGGGCCGAACCGATGCAACGGTTCATTATTTTAAAACGAACCAATGTGTTGGTTGGGGTGTAACCACCCATACGAAGAGCTGCCTCCCTTCATACGCACCCCTTCATTCTCTATAAATAGCACCTAACCCCTATAGTTTACATAATTTTTTTCCCATACCAAAACTCTGCCAAAATCTAAAGTGATTTTTTCTGCATTGTTTTTCAAAAGAAAAATCGAGTTAAGTGTGGTTCTTGTCCGTTCGCTGCGTTCGATAATTTTCGGGGTTTGAGGTACCGCTACGTCTTTCATATCCTGGAGGAATCATTCCGTAACTTTGGGTACTATAGGGGAATAAAATTCTTTAAGGAGAGACATTGAATTATGTCGCCTATGATGGTTGTATACGTCTTTGCATGTTTTTTGTGATCTTACATGTCACTTGTTTTGCAAGAAAATAGTATACGTGAACAATTTCCACAACAATCTTAAAATTTTTTATTAATTTTGTTATTATTCTCGTATTCTGTTTGGTTTCCGAAAAATTGCCTTCGGTTTATTAGTTTATCTGTCTGTATCATTTTAATTTCTATACGTGTGTTTGCCGTAGTATAATTGGTTGTTCATGCATGAAAATTAGAAGGGAAACGATTATGATTCTCGGTATATATTTTTCTATAGAAAGTGCAATGTTATTTGACAAAGACATCTGTTCATCAATTTTCGTGTGAACAATTTTGTGCATAATACTGAATTCACGCGTCATAAGAAGAATTCTTGGTTCTTAGACTCTTAGTTTATCGGTGGAACTTGATACTCTGGATAAATTGCCTTATCACTTTTGGTTAGTGATCAGTCTATTGATTGTTTAACCGTCTAAGAAAGGACTTGATTCCTGGATCATATAAACAATTCTAATAAGTGCTTTGTTCCATCTGTTCGTATATGCATGAATGTATATATAAGTTTGTTGTGTATATAGATACGTGACTGACGCCATTGGAAAATGCATGTGGTTTACCTGAAATCCATTTTGGTTGTTAGTGAAATATTAACTAGGGTGTTTTATCGATTAATCATTGTAAAGTGATCATTATGCTTGCCATGGTTAATTGATTCTGAAACTGCATTTGATAGTTACGCTTCATGACATTGCCTCTATTCTACATGTTTTCGCTGTTAATGGAAAGGAATGTTCGGTTCATATATATATATATATATTTTTCTTCCCATTGGAGGAAAGAAAGTATGCAGAGTCTGGCTGCAAGTCACGATGCTTTGAAAATGGTCCTTCCATTTAATTAATCAGTGCCATCTACACCAAGTAAACAAATACATGCATGCAATGGCAATGAAAGGTATGTGTCATTAAAAAGGAATTATGTTTCTGTTGGACCTCGATCTACTCGGCCCTATTTCTCAGTCCACCTGGGCAATAACAGTTCAGCGCACAATTCCTTCTTCTCTGGCATCGGGGCCAAGTGCTAGGGATTCTAGATTATGGGTTTTGGGTTTCTTATTATCTAAATCAGTATCTCAATCTCTAGAGTTGGGCCGTGACGCTAGGAACTCTCGTTGTGGCCAAGTTCTAGGGATGTACATATTCACGTTCAATCCTAACGTTTCTTTACCTCTAAATGCTACAACTCACAAGATGGGTGTCATCGCTAGCTTGTCCGGAGGACATAGACACGGGTTGAAATGAATGGCTAGGGTCTAGGACATGGGGGAAAACTTTTTGGGTGGTGCCACGAAAAGCAAAGTGGTTCCATAATTTCATCAACCTAGAACCACCTATATCAACACAAACCCACTCACACAAACAATGGCCAAATAATCCGCCATTCCAAAACACAACCTATCACCAAATCATGTCACACATACTTTCTTTCTACATTTGCTATTCAATTCCAAGCACAAGAGAGTAGTGGTAAACATGTTAGTGTTTCTATAACTTGCATGCCAAGAAACACTGCTAAGAGCATGTCCAACATTTATTATATTTTCGGTGTCCACTCTCTTTTCTTCTTTGCCCTTTTATTGATTTTTTTCTTTTCTCTTTTCTTTAAGGGCTATAGAGTGCTATAAACACGTGCTATATTTTTTAACTTAAGGATCAATGCTCAATTTTAAGAACTACCTCCACACTCGCTTAACATTCTCAGCAAAACCATACACAAATCACTCATGTGGAACCTCATTTAAACTCAAATGGTATGAATGAAGCTTCCAAACACAAGGGTGACTTGATAACGGTGTAGACACGAAGAAAGTAGGGTCGTTCTATCTAAATCAATCAAGCTCAAGTAGCGTGAGCTACCTAACACGAGCACGACCCTTAGACACACGGCTCAAAAGGGGTTGACTAGGGGATAATGAAATCGGGACAAGTCAAAATTTGGGTCGTGGACTAAACCTATGCCTCCATCTTCCTTGCTAGTAACACCGTGAATGCTACACACCATGTAAAAGGAAATCTATCGCACAAGAACGAAACGAACGACACAAGTATCACATGGCTACCTAGGTTCTCAATCATTCGTTCTAATTACCTAAACTCGATGCATAGGCAACTGTGAAAAGCAAGTAATCGATTCAACACATCTATCGGTTCACAAACACATAAGAAATAAACCAATGCACAAACCTAATACAAGTCTCATTCATCATAATAGATTTCACATAATCACAAGCAAATCATCCACAGACAATGCTAATAACCACGAGATTCAAAACAAATCACCAAAGGTGCCACTATGATCATGCAAATGTAGAAGTTGCTATGCTTGGAGCACTCAAAATTTTAAAATTTGGGCATTCAACTCAATGGCGTAAAAGAAGGAGGTAGAACAATATTACCGGTCAAGTTGTGAATGTTGGTGATCCGACGTAGGACGGGTGAGATTCGGAAGAGCGTGGAGCCGGCAAAACACCACCTAAAGCTCTCCATTTGTCGTCTTATTGGAAGGAAAAGAGATGCAAACCGATGATGGTTGGCTTTCCTCTCACCAAGCGCTTCTTTAACGTCGTGAGTCGGACGGTGGTTCTTCAAGTTTCGGTCCGTCCAAGAACCTCCATGAAGTTGAGGTTCTTGTCGGTGAGGTGATGTTTGAAGTCACGAGAGGGCTCGTCAATTTGGGTTAGCATGACGCTCCACCCACGAGACCTCTCCTTCTTTCCTTCATCATTCTTCTCTTTGCCCCACACAATGACTACTAGAATCCAACGTTCGCTTTGTCAGCTACATAGGGAGTCAAAGAGGGATTACTTTCAGGTTTTGAAAATTAAACATGTTTGAGACTCTAAGTGGATGCAAGTTGTTTGCAAATTGTGTTAATTGAAATATTTGGAGTTACGAATTTTGTTCATTTTTAATTGTAGGGAGTTTTCCCCCTTAATCGAATCCTAGAACTATATGGTTGTACTAATAGCTTAACATCTAAGCAAAATTGAACCACGAAGAAATTATCGTTTAACCACTTATTATTGTTATTAGTTAGGTTATGGGTTACAATCGATACTAGCTCATAACTTCCAATATGGTAGCGTGTGAGAAAAAATAAACCGATAGCCGCCGACTAACCGTTTCCCTAATGGCTCTTGACTTCCACGTGGTAGTACGTAGGAAAAGGCGGTTGAATTCAGGAAGTTACGCGCGAGATCAAAATTTTTGCATGTTAAGCAAAATGCTGCGCTTTTCCGGCTAGAAAAATGATGGAACAGCCGAGGACGAGTAGCTCGAAATTATGGGCCCACTCTTGTTGTCCCCTCCCTGCCTCCTGGGCCCAATTTTGTTACAACTCCCTCCGTCAGCCCAGCCAGACCTAACCTCCTCCTCATCCTTTCTCCGTCTCCAATCCATCTTTTGTCACAGTTTGGTCTCCAGAATCTTAACGGCAGCCCACACCCAGCCAGCAGCAGGCAAGGCAAGTCTCACTCTCATTCTTCCCCTATCAGTTTTTCTTTCTTTCTTTCTGGCCACGTTTCTCTCCTTCTTAGTCTCTTTCCGAATCTGCCATTGCTACTTCTTTTCCTGACGCAATATAACTGCCCGGTAAAGAGCAAAACTTGGGTCATCATGGGTTTGCAACATTAGAATTGGTTTGCTTTTTCCGGCGATGTATTCAATTTCTTTACCTGGATTATTTTCTTTGGCTGCATGTTGTGTATATCTCTTTCATGTGACTGATTCGATTCATTTATGGAGACAAATCGCAGGGGAGGCTATGAACTCAGCGCCATCGACGGTGGAGGAACCATGAAGAGGCTGATCGCGTGTGGTGTGATATTCGACGAGTATCATAGCTCAGATGCAGAAATCGACGGCGAAGAAGATCAAGTGTTCGATCCCTAGCAGCAGTAGCATTTCTCCCAACACGAGCCAGAATTGGATTCTCAAGGTTTAAGTGATTTCTGATTCTCCATCATTCCCCCATTTGCATGTCAATGCTTTCTCTGCCCATCTTGCTTACCCTTCTGACAATGTCAATCTGCGGTGTATTTGTACAGAGATGATAGCTAAGTCTACATAAATGTATCAGAACTACATGCAGGAGCTTCCCATCCCGCCGCTTCGGGGTTCACTTATTTCGTGTTCTTCATGGATGGAACTAGGGAGGTCGATGAAGCAACTCTACGGGCAGCCATTGCATTACTTCACCAACTTCATTCTCGGACACTGGGACGAGCTACGAACCGACACTGAAAATCAACACCAGCCATTGGATCTCTTCATCCACCCTAGTAAAGCTGAGGCAACCATCTGGCTAGTTGAAGAGGTTCACAGGAAGATCTCATTCCTTCATCAAATTGCTAGGCTCAGGACTTCTGATCCCTTGTACTGACGTTTCCTGGACGGTCTTGTACTTGAGCTTTGCATGATGAATTCGTGACATGATCCTCTGGCTTCCAGGATGACTTTTTGTTTCATCAGCTTTTTTCTTGTTGACTTCCAGCATGTTGTACACTCTATCTCATCCTTCGGAAGCAAGTTCCATGAGTGACACTCTATCTGGTTCTACACCGTGGTTATGCAGTTTTCTAAAAATCTCAATTGCTTACATGAACATGTTGTCTTGTTACTAAATCCCCAATCATGGTGTTCCAAGAAACAAGATCAGCGTCTGGCATCTCCTGGAAGAGCTGTCAAGCTGACTGCCTGACTCTACATCTCCAAATCTAAATAAAAACCCTGAAATTAGTGAGTTCCATGACATTGAGGTCTTGTTTGGCATGTGATTAAAGAGTGCACAAGCTGCTCCTGGTTTATCACATTTCATGCACACATCGATCAGGACATTGCAAATGTTATCCCCAATGCTTTAAAGCATTCCTCGAGATATAAGCATGGCAACATCTTCCTTGCAAAAGATCGTCTGTTGGTGAACAAGCTTAGATTTCTTATAGCATGGTAACCCTGTCAGGTCTTTGACCATGTTGCAGCATCTGATCTAAGACATGAGACGTTCACTTGGCGTTCCATTGCTGACATAATTTGACATCATTCAGTGCATTAAAAAGCAGCTTCTAGCTAGGTAACATGTATTGGGTATTCACAGTTATGGTGGAGGTTGAAGAGATGGGAACTAGAGACGGCGACACAATTATGGCAGCCATTAGTTGCAGCTGATAATTTAGCAGCTAGAAGCAAAGAAAGAGTAGGACTTCCGAACTAACTGCTGCAGCATTTGGCCGAACTACTGATGCTTATACTATGTTTGAATAAGCTGCATCTCAATCAAACAACTATAACCAGCAACGAAGTTGCATTTCTAAGTACAAACGTGAGGTTACAGCGTCAAAAGAAGAGAACAACTTATCAAGCAACATTTTCCTTCCTCTTCAGCCATTGGTGGCTCCTCCCAAGAACAACAAGTCTAGCAACTCCCTGTTTGGCAAATCCTCTTTCACTTTGATCGGTCTTCAAAAGAACCCTGCAGGTTCTCTTGATGGTATTTGGAGTAGTTCTGCAGCACCCGTCAAACAGTGAAGCCCCTTCTTCTCTCCATTTTCCTACGTAGGACACGAAGTCCTCATCAGAAACCCCACTTGATTTCTGCAAACCATTTCCAAAAGAGACCAGATTAAAACCAAATCCAGCTCTTTATGGTGCAAACTACAAAGGGAAGAAGATCAGTGCTCACTTACCACCCACTGCTTCTGCTCAAGGTCATAAGTCTCGCCGCTGTTCGGGTATATAACTGTCGGCTTCTTGGTCACATGCAAGACAAATTTGTGAGGCGTTTAATCATTCCAGTCATTTTTTTATAAGGGTGATATGGGTTTCATTTTGTTGTCATTAAGGTACTACTTAAGGGATTCGAACCTGAGACCTCCAGGTTCTAGTCTAGTGGTATTACCATTAGACGAAACCCTTGTTCGTCATTCTAGTCATTTTTCATATAGAGAAAGAGTGAGAAAGGAAGGAAATCCAATAACTACCTTGCGGATAAAGACTATGAGATCATGGATGAACCTAGGAGGAGTGCAGTTGATACCAACAACAACAACTTGCTTGCAGGAGTCTGCAATGGAAGCACACTCTTTAATGGAATCTCCAATCAGCACATTGACTCCGTCTTTCCAAGAGAAAGAGAACCACACTAGAGTGTTCATCATGGCTTCCTCTTCCAGAAGCTCTGCATACGCCTGGGCTTCCAGCTTGTTCAGGATCGTCTCCAAGGCAAGCAAGTCAGCACCTGAGTTTGCCAGAATCTGTAGCCTTCTCCTGCGGAAGTCTTTCAATGCTTGGAGGGTAATTGCTTCCCCATAGTTCCCACTGCAAGAATTCAAACTGGACCATATAAGCTCCACAATAGTTGTGGGAAATGTCAACACATCTAACCCTGCCTCACCATTCGCCAACCCCATTATCTGCCTCTATTGATATCTTAATATGGTTCTTTTACAATATTCAAAAATCGAGTTTGACTAGTTTTAAGCAATTGACCTGTACTCAGAGCCATCAGCCAGAAAAGCTCCATAGCTGCCAAATGGAAGCTGCAATCAGAACAGGGCGCCTGGAGGGTTGCCCGCTTTCAACGAACTCCAAAGAGCTTTTACTAGATTTGTCAGCATAAATCTCACTGGCCTCATAGGCGATCACCACGCTCCTCTTCAAGAGATGCTTAGCTTCCTCTCTTGACAGGCCTTTTGATTCAAACCCCAGGATGGTAGCCTATTATAATAAGAAGACATTAGTATCACCAATCAACGTTAAGAAATCTTCCTACAAAAAAAAGGTTCAGAAATCTAGCAGAGTTCATACAAGATTTGAATCTTATATTCATTTCCCACCTGGTAAGATGCTGTCAGGCATATGTTAGCTCCAGCATCAAGATAATCCAAGTGAACCTGTCAGTTTCAACTCAATAAATGAATATTATGAATGAAACCATTTGACTGCATATCAACAAGTTGCAATGAAAAATCCAAACTTTCTGATGAGTTCACATGTAGTTATTACTAAATTAAAATCCGACACATCGTTGTCAGAAATTGGATACATCTAATTCAAGGCCCAACAAGCACTCTTCACCCACTTTTCAGAACCCATCTTCACTCCATGAACAACCTCCCCCGTCCCCTTATCAATTCTCTGCTTATCCTTCGTTTTCCTTTTACTTACTAACCAGTCAAAACTCAAAAGGAGGAAATTTGTGTACAACATTTCAACAAAACCAAAAATGGCTGACAGAGGAGATAACCGGTTCGCCGGAAGAACGAAGTGGGGAAACATTGAAAAATAAAAAAAATGGCGAGAAATGAAAGAGGGGGCGAAATGGGCGTAGCAACAAAGTACCCTTCTAACGAGCTAAGGGGAGCTTATGAGGCATTTGGGGCTCCAGAGTGGGTCGCTGAGGTCGGCACCGTAACGCTAGAGCTCAGTGGCAAAACCGCCATCGACGACGGCGCAGCCGCCGTACTTGTCGATGAAATCATCCAGGGTCGTCGACGGTGTGTCTCTGTTCACCTGACCCATTGTTTTGACGAACAACGAAAGATGGAAGAGGATGAAGAGGATTGCAGATTTTCGCTCTTATTTCTTGATTCAGACGGGTTAGGGGAAATGAATCTCAGTGCTTTGCTTTTACGCTCTGCAATGGCGGTGACGAGTTCCGATCTGTGTGAGTGAGAGCCGGATTATAAAGAGAGAGAAGCCCTAAGTTATCTGGAATGACGTATTTGCCCCACTTGGCGTAAGTGCTCATTTGCATATAGGAGCCACGCGGCGTTGGTCGGTCTGAACATCAAGACATGTAGATCTGACGTGGGATTGTAGTATGACGGAATCACGTCTTGGTTTATTTTGGCTTCATTACCAGACATCTCTCATAGTTATAGGTGTCAAAACAGAACCCGACCCGACTAACTCGCCCGACTAACCCGACCCACAATCCGACTGCAACCCGATTTGACTAAAAGTCAATGACCTGCAACCCGATTGACCCGCAACTCGATTGACCTGTAATCCGAATAACCCACATACTCGATTGACGCACAATCCAATTAAACCTATAACCCGATTGATCCAAACCCGACTAACCCGTAACCCTCCCGATTGACCCGAATAATGACTATATTATATAAAATTTCAAAATGCAATTTGTTTGTTGTAAGACTAAGTAAACCTATTTTTTCTTTTTTATAAAGGAAAGTTCAAAAAATGATATTGAGTTGACATTATGTGTTTTTAATAAGAGAAAGAAATAAGGGGAGTTTTGATACTTTGGTTTATAGGAAGAGAAAGAAGTTGAAAATTTTGGTGTTTTCAATTTTTTGGGGGAAAAAGAAGAGGAAAATTTGGTGCTTAAATTTTTGGGTAAAGAAAGAATGGGGAGTTTTGGTGTTTTGGTTTATAGGAAGAGAAAGAAGTGAGAAATATTGGTGTTTTCAAATTTTTGGAGAAAAAAGAAAAGGAAAATTTGATGCTTCAAGTTTTGGGGAAAAAAAGAAGGGGGAATTTTGGTGCTTTGGTTTATAGGAAGAAAAAGACGTGAAATTTTTTGATGTTTTCACCTTTTTTAGGGAAAAAAAGAGGAATTTTTTGTTTCAAGTTTTGGTGGTTTTGATTCTTAGGAAGATAAAAGGGTGGAAAATTTCGATGTTTTTTATTTATGGAAATAAAAATTAGGGGAAAATTTTGTACTTTCATTTTTTTAAGAGAAAGAAAAGAGAAATATTATCACAATGTTCACATATGATGGTTTATGAGTTTAATTAATTATCGATTTGATTATCGCAATGTTTACATATGCTGATTTAGGAGTGTAAAATTTAGTGATCAAAATATTGTCTATACTCTATAGATTTGAGAACATGTAAAGAGTTATCCTATTTGAAATGCATATTATTTTACATTTATGTTGGAAACTTAATCTTACTCACTAATTCTCCCACCTCATTTTTATTTAGGTGGGAAACTTCCCACCTCTCATTTTGATATCTTCATCCCAACTTTTCAATACTCCAACGTTTCCCTCCCTACTTTTCGTTATTCTCATTTTGCTTTCCCTATACAATTTGTCTCTACCAAAATGAAAATCTAACGAGGGAAAATCCCCCCCCCCCCCCCCAATTCGACTCACCAACGTTTCAATTCTTTTAATATTAAGCCTGATTTCCATTTCTCATAAACGGTTGTTTATAATATTAGTGTCTTGTCTAGATTTTGCATATGTATATAAATTAGGATTATAGATTGACAACGACTTGCAATTTTGTTTCATGAACTTTGATTTATATATTTTTTTGTTAAACAAAAAGTTTACACTTCAATGAGAATTAAGCTTATAATTTATTATATATATAATTCGTGTCCTTTTTGTTACTCAACATTGCATTGTCGCCCAATTTTCTTTTTGCTTGATATATATTGCCGCTCCACTTCTTCATTCCCACTCCAAAAGGCCGCCCAATTTTCATTTGGATTGATCTATATTGCCGCCCAAAAATGTTGGGATAAGAAAAAGTGTTTTTCTTCTTTGTTTTTAGAGTGGTGTTTTGTTTGGTTTGCTAATAGTGTCTATTGGTGGAAAATGTTGATATCATCATTACTATTATCTAGTGTACTTTACCAACTATGATTAATTACATGACAAGTTTACAAATCATACAAATTGATTCAACATTTTGACTAGTTTATTTTAATTAAGTATATATAAGGTAGAAATAATTTGGTTAAAAATTGTGAAAAATATTTTAAATTAGTGTAATAAAATGTGAAAGTTGGTAGCGAGTAAGGAGTAAGTAACTCGATGCGCTGTCCCGAACAACATGCAGCCTAATCTGCGCGCAACCCACCCGACCCGAAACCCGATTTGACTGCAACCTGATTTGCCCGCAACCAAATTCAACTCGCAACCCAACGAACCCGAATTCGACTAAACCGCAACCCGATTGAACCCGACTCGAACCCGCCCGATTGACACTTATAATCATAGTTTCCCTCATAGTTTCCTTTCATTTCGTTACCATCCCTATAATTATCGCTTTATCTTTCCTTTCATGTCTCTGGCGCTCCTTTATGGATGGGAAATAACAGAGCAAAAGTGAAGAAGTTTCGACCTCAGCAGCAATTCAATTATTCCCCCTGTTTTTTTAGAGAGTAGTTAACATTCATGTATGGTCTCATCTGTACATGGCGTTGGATCGTGCTTGGCCGGCACGGTACGAGCATGTTTGGGGCTCATTTATTTCGTGTCATACTTGGCACAACCCGTTAGTTTTCGTGCCGTGATGAGAAAGCCCATTTGTTAAATTTGCTAGGCCCGACCCAGGCCCGAGCAAGGCTCGAATCGTGCCGTGTCTATTTGTGATCGTGCCCTGCTCGTATTCGTGTCTAATTAAAAGGAATAAAATAAAAGAGAGAATGAAAAAGAAGGTGAAAAATTGGACGGAGAAAGATAGTATTAATAAAGAATGTTTGAGAAAAGTAACAAATAAGGGGGAAAAGAAATTTGGAAATATAGCGGGTGTGATTTAGCTTTGTTTAATTCTTCGTCCATTTTTACTTATGGTAGTAATTACGTATATATCTTTATGACATTTCTAACAACAACAAATAACTATTTTTCTACTTGTATTTGTAATATTTGAACCTATAATTCTTTCTATATTTATTTTCTATCAAATAAATGTTATTTTTGTGTCATGTTCGTTCTTATACTCAATAAAATCTCAAATATATTAGGCCCAACACGGCCCACTTATATACCGTGTCGTGCCCGTGCTCGTGAAGTTTAGGCCTGGCACGGTCCATAAATTATTCGTGCTCGTGCCGGGCTGGCCCATTTATTTCGTGCCCGTGCTCGGGTCGTGCTCTAACTATGTCGTGTCATTCTACCCCGTGGGCGACCCGGCCCGGTGCCCACGTACATTCTCATCCAACAATTTAAATTGTTGGTGTAAGTCGTTTATAATATAGTATCAAAGTCGATTGGATCAAGTGGCCGTGTGTACGAAATTTTACGACTCACTATATTAAAAATTGATTTAAACACAATGTATAGTAGGCATGTGTACACTTCTAAACTGTGAGTGAGGGGAACTTATATGTAAGAGAATGATTAAGATCCATTAATGAATTTTCTACCAAGCACTCAAATTATTGGACCAAACGAGTAATATTTTGATACCTGTAAATAATAACACAAAAGGGAGAGCGATTAAGACTCACTTTATAACACAGTAATTTCGATATTAGTTTGTAGTCAATCAATCAAATAATAAAACAAACATGTTTTTCATCAATTTACGTTATTCTCTCACTTGTGAGTTACAAGCAACTCTGGGGGAGGGATACGGTTACAACCCCTAAAGGGGGTTTTGAGATTGACCACCCACTTCCTAACCATTGGATATGCTCTCTCTCCTGTCTCTTTCTTCTTTTTTCAAATTGATGGTTAAGATTAAAGGAATGCTATTTTTGGAATGAAAAATATTACCACACATGATCCTTTCTCATTTTCTATAGGGTTATAGGTATAATATGCCCCTCTACTATGACGTTTTATCAAACATACCCTTATACTGTTTTTTACATCAAACGTACCCCTGTACTTTGTAAAAATGATCACACATGCCCTTTTGTTTAAATTTTCAACCAAAAACCGTTAACCAAGTTGGAACTTTGGTTTGGGAGGCACAAATGTCTAAAATATCCCTAATAGTTTCACTTTAGAATTTTTTTTGTTCTTTTGTATAGCCGAATAATTCAAATAATTTCACTTTGAAGAGACCTAGAGAAATAAAACGGGAGAAAAAATTGACATTTTCGCTCCCATTTGCCGATGTCGGGTCTCTAAATCTCGGTTCAACCATGATTGACGATTTTATCAATAATGGAAATCTTAACATAAGGGCATGTTTGATAATTTTTTCAAAGTACAGGCGCATGTTTGGTGTAAAAAATAGTAGAGGGGCATGTTTGATAAAACGTCATAGTAGAGGGACATATTATACCTATAACCCTTTTCTATATAATCTAGTTTCATAAAAAAAAAATAACTCCCACCCTAACACGCGTCCTCTCTCCCCAAAACCCTAGCCGCCTCCTCCCCTCCGTCTCTCCATGTCACCGCCGCCTCCATCTCTCCCTCCTCCCACCATAGTTGCAGCCCTCGCGCCGCAACCATCGCGCCCTTCGCCTCCCACCACTGTCGCGCCATCACGCTCTTCCCGCCGCTTCCCTCTACCCCCTGTCACTGCCATCTCTCTCCCGTCATCCTCTGTCGTCGCCGGGAAAAAGTATGTCGGTCGGAGAAAGTTTGACAATCGAAGCGAAGAGGCCAGAGAGATACAAAGAGATATAAATGTATTAATTTTAGGATTTAAATTAAAAAAATACATATTTAATATGGGTTTTTAATTCTCATTTTATAATTAATACAAACAAAAATTAATAAATTCTATTTTTTTGTCATACCCAAATTATCCTCAGATGTGAAACTCACATCAACACAGGGGAACTGACGCTATCCTATCCTAACTCTGGAGCTAAATCTTTGTTGCTTGTGAGTCACAAGCAACAGAAACACAAAGAATGCCGATTCAGGAGAAGGGAATCTCTGAAAGCCGATAAAATTTGATATCCACTGTAGCAATGGATAACTATATATATTCGTAGGAGAGTTTTGAATCTGGACAACTTTGTGTGTCACATTCATGGCGGAATCTCAATTGCGTAGGTAGGTAGGTGGGCTTGCTATTCTACTTCCTAATCCCTGTATATAGTCCATAAATTGCAAATTATATGCAACCAAACCGGTTTAAATGTTGAAAATCGATTATACTGACCATACCAGGAGCATTCCAGCTGGCTTTTGTAACCGGTACAATTGTATATTTGTATTGACCAATATACCACTAAGTAAATTTTCTGAAACTTGCGAGATCCTTAACAATGTGTATTTTGAGTTTTGACTAATTTCTCGATCACTTCTACTATGCTATATAGCATTGGTGCTTTAATATACAACTTAAAGTTGTACCATAACATTAAATGTATAAGTTTAGGTTGTACCATAAAGGAATTTGTATCATTATGTTATGTACAACTTTACAACTTGAAGTTGTACCATAACATTAAATGTATAAGTTTAGGTTGTACCATAAATGAATTTGTATCATTATGTTATGGTACAACTTTTCAACTTGAAGTTGTACCATCACATAAGGTACAAGTTTAAGTTGTACAATAAAAGAATTTGTACAAAAAGTATAGGTACAATATGAAGTTGTATCATAACGTTAAAGGTACAATTTCAAGTTGTACCATAAAGGCAAAAATCTATAGCACCAATGCTATATAGCATTGTAAAATTCCTACTAATTTCTCACTTAGATAAAACGAAAATTATTTTAAGTAGTGGCAAATTTTTCCTTATATATTATTTATTTATACGTAAAAGTTAATATTGCATCCCAATAATTAAATACGAGAAATTTGGGTGATTTATAAGGTCCACATGATCACATTGATTATATCAGTTAAAATGAACGGTGGAAAATATATTTTGGGCAATGTCAAGCTCTCATTACGTGTCCCTCTTCAATACCCCCGAAATCCGAAGCCTCATTGATCAAGTTGTAAATCCTTGATTATCCGCTAATATTATCCAAACGCTAGGGTTGTTCATTGACAATATTGGAAACAACACTTTGATGGATATGATAGCATTAGTAACGCTATCAAGTATTGTTATTTGTTACTGGTATGCATTTCTTAGTATATGGTATGCATTCTATTAGTACGTTGTAGGAGATTTTTAATGAGAAATTTTACAATTCTATATAGTATTTGTGCTATAGAGTCTTGCTTTTATGGTACAACTTAAAACTTGTACATTTATGTTATGGTACAACTTCAGATTGTACCTATACTTTTTCTACAAATTATTTTATGGTACAACTTGAACTTGTACCTTTATGTAATGGTACAACTTCAAGTTGTAAAGTTGTACCATAACATAATGATACAAATTGCTTTATGGTACAACCTAAACTTATACATTTAATGTTATGGTACAACTTTAAATTGTACATTAAAGCACCAATACTATATAGCATAGTAGAAGTGCTCTATTTTTAATATGCATTTTTAGGATTCTTGGGTGTTCACTGTTCATGACATACATTGTTATGTTTCTACTTCTAGTATGCACTACTACTTAGTTTCAACTGGGTTCCGCCAATAAAAAACTGAAAAATCAAAAATTAAAAATAGATCAGATATTACTATAGCATCTTTTTCCGTTAAGTATTTGTCAAATCAAGGGATGGACTAATTGGAGATCCAAATAGACATACACATACTTAGCTGTTCCCCCCTTAATTTCTTCAGTTTCAACGCGCGTGCTGCAGCCTACACACTGTTTCTTAGCGCACTAATTGACGGAAGTCGGGATTTAAGCAGTGGCGGACCCATAAATTTTTCATAGGGCATCCTCTTTTAAAATATAAATTAAATAAAAATAAAAATAATTGATAAAAATAAAATTGTAAATATGAAAATACTTTACTCGTATAGGTTAAAAAAGTTTATGATATGTTTTCATATTCGGAAATAATTGTAGAATACACTTGGTGTCTATAGTGTTAAAAATATTGTCTCTATATACACTGCTAGCTAGACAATCATTCACGAACTTATCGCATATTCGATTTGTAAACTTGTTCTTGATGTAACCCAAAGCTGAAAGACTCTTTCAACACTTGCCGTACAATCATAAAATCAATACAAATTAAGGGTAGTTTGAAATTAGTTTAATTGTTAGGTTTTTAAAATAATTAGAGATAGGAAATGTCATTTTACTATTACACATTGTTCAAAATTGAACAACAAATGAGTTTAGCTCAACAGAAATTAAGTTTATTAATAATAGCAGTGTTCTAGATTTGAATTATCCAACCTACCACTTATATTCCTATAGACAAATGACAATAGGATAATCATTTTTTCAAATTTAAGGGGTGTCCCTCACTATCAAATTTTTTTTTTTTGTCCATACGTAAATTACCACCTAGAGTTGGATAATCGTTTCCCCAAAATTTAGGGGTGTCCCCGGACACCCCTAAACCTCCCTGGGTCCGCCCCTGGATATAAGTGACTAAGTTTGAATCAAAATGCTGCAATATTTTGGTATATGACATTTCATGTGATATATCGGTTTCACTGTGATAATTGAGTTTAATTAGTTGTTTTGTTTGAATAAAACATTCATATGTTGTGGTATTTCACTATTTAAAGAAGGAAGGAGTGAGTTATTGAAATGTCTAGGGGAGGAGGTATTCCAATTAACGTCGTTTTGTTTGCCAAACAAGTTATTTGTGTCCAAATAACTCATCCAAATGACCCGTAAGTCTTGGAGGAGGAAAGTTGACAATTCATGTTTAGGGATGCTAACAAATCCAATACGATATTTTTCATATAGTTAATCCAATGTAACGTTTAATTGTTAACCACATATATACTTACATTTCTTATTAAATAATGAAATATTCTCTGGAAAATATTTAAAGCAGGAAGATGGTTCAATACTTTACATGAACAAGAGTAAACATTCAAACCTACGAAGAAATGTCCCTCTCATGAAAAAAAAGCAACAGCTTAGACCATCAGGGATGACAAAACAACTGATTTCTAGACCCACCCTTGGTTTTGGAGCATGAAGTGGTATTCGAAGACTACTTACTGGCTACTACAGGTGCAGGACATTAGAGACGAAGAGAAGACCTCTGCAGTGACAGAATAAGGAGACTGGTGGTATTGAGACTGCTTGTGCACTTTTCTTCCCGCGAGATATCATGGAACGTATGGGAGCAGAGGAATAAGGAAGCCATGGAGGGATGACTGTACTCTGAAGATTGTCTCATTCAAGGGATTTATCCATGTATTAACAATTTAACATAAACAGACATGATGAGCAGAGTATGAAGAAAATTATCAGCTATAGAGTAACTACACGTGAGAACATATTCATATCATGGAAGCCATCGGATGAAGGATGGATCCAATTGTAGAGAGATGATAGAATGCAGGAGCTGAAGGGCTTTTAAAAGATAGTCTTGGGAGGTGCACTGAGGCCATTGTGTGTAATTTGGGATCGTGTTCCACCATTAGAGCAGAGCTCAAGGGTGCAGAGGAGGATTGACTATTACTTGGCAGAAAGGATACAATAAAGTTCAACTTATGCTAAAATATTGGTAATAGAAGTATAATTCTAAGTAATTTGAGTCAACTTGCATATAATTTAATCAAAATGAGTTAAGAATGGAGTAGGTCAGGTCAGTTGAAGGAGAGTATACATAGCCCGATTCATATGGAGTATAACTACACAACTGACTTTTTGAGTTGTAAGGATTACAATGTTAATTTCGATACACATCCTTCGATGTAAGCGTCTAAAATCTTCAATGCTGTATGATCATAGGGTAATCTTCCAAGAGCACACTATTTTAATATAAGTTAAAATGAGTTAGCATATGTCTTTCTACCCAAAAATATTTTATTTCATCTTCAGATCCAAATTTGATCTAAAATGTTGTGTATAAACCTCTAACAACACAAATCCGCCAAATCCAGTCGTGCCTAATCCAAACCTCTCGAGTCTCGCCCAAACCATATGACCCAACCAAGCTCCCTCCTCTCTCTTGTTGCCATTCATTAACCACCTTCACAACTCCAAATCTTAACTCCAATACATCTCCCCCTTGTCACCGCCGCTGGCTGCCACGACATTGAAGCTCGAGTAGCTTTGGTATAACGTGACCCTGGCTGGGGAAGACGATGGTCTCGATGAACCCTCTAAAACTGTGAAACTTGACATGTGTTACAAAACATATTCCGAGGATAAAATGGATCTCAGAAGCTTCCTTGCTCTTGATACGTAGTAGTTTGTGGCGGGGTTTCGATTTAGTTTCAAGATACTCACTCCTAAGATGTTAGATGTTCAACGATATAAATCATGCAAACCAATACTTAGTAAGCCTCTAAAGTTTGCTGCCAAAAACAGGTTTCAGAGGGGACAAATTCAATCCGCAGACGAATGACTGGAAACTAAACATATTAGCTCAATGAATCATGACAAATCCTTATATACCAAGGGCTCTCTATGTATGGGTTAGAGAGAGCTGGTCAATTGGTTACAGTATAGGTGACCTGTTTGCATTAACTGTGAATAAAAAAACACACGCCCAAAAGGAGCACCCCTGCCTTACATGGCAAAACCGACCAAGCTTTCAGGTCTCTTTTCTTCCAATTCAAAATAAGTACAAAAGAGAAGAGTATTAATTCGTAAGAGGAAAAACGAAAACAAAAATAGGTGAAAAGAAATTATTTTTTCACATGGCAGTAGGCAACTGTTGTTGAAGGAGAATTCAAGGGCCCCGAGTTGGAGCAAAGCAGAAACAGCCTGGGTTCTGGTCTTCAGGGATCATCCCTCCTCCTTTGCTCGTATCAATGGCCTCCAACATCTTAACAACCTCGTCCATCTCCGGGCGCTTCTCTGCATGTCCATCCCAACACTTCTTCATGATGTTCACCAATGAACTCGGGCAACACCTCGGAATCTCAGGTCGTAGATTCTGCAAAGCACAAGTTTCACAAGCATTGTTATGGGTAAAGGTATGAGAAACATATTATTGTCTAGGTACAATATATCAATCATTGAGCAAAATCATGAAAAACTCACGTTTCGAACGACAGCAGATGTGACATCAGCAAAGCTGAGATCTGGGTACGGCATGTCACAACAGTAGATTTCCCACAAGCATATGCCAAAGCTGTAAACATCGCACCTTCTGTTGTATGGCTTCCCATCAAGTACCTGTATTTATTAAGTATCGAGTTTATAAATAGCTTCAAAAATGAATGTTGAGTTTGGTAAACAAGGCCAAGAAAAGTACAATTCAAAATTACCTCAGGGGCCATGTACCCAAGGGTACCGGTTTCTCCAGTCATATCACTTGGATTCTGAGCTTCCACTCGAGCGACTCCAAAATCAGCAATCTTGAGATTTCTCTGAGCATCAAGTAACATGTTCTCTGATTTCACATCACGATGTACGATCTTCTTTGAGTGTAGATAACTGAGACTGCAAGTTGAGCATATTTATTATTCGTATTCCAAAATCAAAGATACTGAAGTGAGTGAAGCTTTTGGACTCACCCTCTAGAGAGATCCAAAGCAAGTTGTATCACAACCTTATAAGCAAGCTTCTTCCTCCTATTACGTATCAAGTACTGTTTGAGGGTTCCACCTGAAAGATACTCAACCACGACGCAACACGCCCTTGCAGTATGCCCATCAGACTGCTTGTTGGCAACCTTGAGATCTGAAGTTCCCATTGATGCTCCAACAAACTAGAGGAGGGAACACAAAATTTGCAAACACATTGTTTCAAGATACAAATTTAATGAAAGGGTAGATGCAACTGTTCATAGGAAGAGCATATTACCAAATTCATTGTAGCCGATATAATCATAAAAGTATTTGAATGTACTGCTGGAGCATAGAAGGTGCAAGCGTATCATTCATTACCAAGTTCTTAAGAAGTTTAAGATTGAATGGGTACTTTCATTACCAATGACACTGGTTCCATTGCATGGCTATTACAAATATCACTCCACAAAATAATCTGACCAAACCACATGCTAATAAAACTGAGCAGCAAAAGAGGTAAGGAAGAAAGAATTTTTACCTTTGTTACATTAGGATGGTCAAGCTTATGCCAAACAGCGACCTCCTGTCGAAACGACGCCCTGAGTGAAGCAGCTTCAGTTACTGTGATCATCCCATCTTCTCCCCAATCCAGTACTTTCACTAATATTCAATGCCATGGGAAAAGGCTCTATTAATCCCCAAGCAATATATAACACAATCACTGCACATTAGCTAGCTAATCTCCATCTAATGGAGATGGTATTCTTCTTCACACGAGATTTCATATCAACACAATACAGCATGCAAATAAACTTGAAACCCTGCAAGATATAAGCAGATTCTAACCTGCAACATCTTGGTTGTCATAAGTGCCCCTGTAAACAGTGCCATAAGTTCCACGCGCAATCTGATTCTTTATATCCAACTTAGATAGATCAATTTCCCACTCTTCCGTCGGGATTTGCTTCTCGACATTGTTCCTCGACCAAACCCTGCTCAAATGCTTCTCAAGCTGTACATCAAGGCTCTTGAGATCGATTCTGTCAGCTCGAAAAATCATATCTTTGCTATTAACACTTCCAGTACCTTTCACCTTAGAAGTATTATTGTTCATACCTCCCTCGTCGACCTTCTTCTCTGTTTTTAGACCCTCCACGTCATCGTCCATCCTTGAATCCATTCTTATCTCAAAATCGGAAAACAATGCTGGGTATTTCTAAATACTTCTTTCCCCACTTGAATTCAGAACTCGGATCAACAAACCTTTCAAAGAAAAGGGATGACCACTGTTTTTTCAAAACGGGAGCAAAAAAAAAAAACAAGAGAAGGAAACAAAAACAAGCACGAAAAGGCGAAAAGAGAGAATTCAATTCACAGGACTCAAATCAAAAGAGTGAACCCAGTTTCAACTAACCTCCCCTTCCTCCCTCCCCTCCTCTCCGACAATTTGATGTTACAAAAACCCTAGAAAATGGAAGGCCTGGAAACTGGGTTTCCCTCAAATCATAAAAACAGAGCACAACACTTGAGAAGAAAAAAGAATTGACCTTTGCACTAATTCAAAGCCTCGTCACCACAATCACCGACCGTATAATGACCAAAACTACGCCACAAAAAAATTCCTTTTAAATGAAGGGAAGAGAAGCCAAGTAAACCCCTAGGAAAACGACGACCCAATGCACACCATTCCCTAAACTAAAAACAAAGAGAGCCCTTTTTTCTTCCGAGCACGCGTGATGCAGGGCAAAAACCCACAATAAAAAACACTTCAAAAGAAATCAAAAAATAGGGGAAGCTAGAGAGAGAGAGAGAGAGAAGAGACGGGGAAATTGACTTGAGAGAAGAGGGGTGGAGAATCCTAATAAAGGGAAAGGTAAAAGAGAGATAAAAAAACAAATAGGATTAATAGAGTCGGTGGAGGATCCATAATGTCATCGCCATGATTATTGCCATAAGCGGAAAAGGCAAGTTTCGGGGAGGGAAAAGCATAGAGATTTCGACCTACTGCTAAACATAGAGATTTGGCAAAGCAAGATTCAGAGACATGGGAAGTGTTTTGTTTTTGGACAATCAACGGCGGAGAAGAATGAAAATTTAGACCCCAACAAGAGGAAAAAATAAGTTCAAAAAATAGAGTGATTGAGAGAGAAGGCAGCGTTGGGAGACCGCAAAGAAAGGGGAAGAAGAAGAGAAGGGAGAGTTGTTGGAGAGACCGTTTCAAAATCTACAACAAAGGTGGCGGAATGGATAAAATTTAGATGACACGGAGCTTGAAAGTTAGGAGGAGGAAGGTTTAGGATTCGGCCGATGCAGATGAAATGAACATATAACTTCTCAATCAAACTAGAACACCAGCTAGTAAGCAGTACTCCTCTCTAGTGGCGTATCCAGAAATTTTATATAGGGGTGTCCTCTCCTAAAAATTAAGTTAAAATAATAATTAAATAAGAAAATATCGGACTTGTCCAAATGTAAACAAAGCACATGACGTGTTTCGTACTTTGGAAAAATTATAAAATACAATCGGTGTCCAACAATACTCTATAAATCTCTCTTTCTCTCTCGATATATCCTACTAGACTGGGGGAGCCCGTAATTGGGTTTAATCGTTAGCTTTTGAAAATAATTGGGATAAAAATAGCTTTTTAATATTATATTTGGATTTGAAATACAAGAACAAATGAGTTATAGTCTAATGAAAAATATGTTTAAGATAATTTTCGAAAACATATTTATTGTGTATGCATAATGTGATTATTTCATGATATGTTTGAGATATATGATGCTTGATTTAGGGCCAATTGACTATGGAATGGTTGAAAAGCTATTACCATCCTGTGTTAGAGTTTTTCTATGTATGTTTCAGGTTAAGAAAATGAGAAAATTACAGCACAGGCAGATTGGAGTAACACAAGCTTTGAGGAATTAATTTCGTGATCATATGCGACTGGGCCGGCCCTTTGTAATTGATGTTGGTCACAAGAAACTTTGCAAGAGGAGGATTATTTGGAATTTGATGGACCAAGGAGTTTGTCTTTTTTTGGTAAGGATTTTGAACGCAGCGTTGGAAGGTGGAGCAGGGGAAGAAAAACGAAATTCCTTGGGCTTCTATTTACTTGGACCGGAATAAAAAGACGGAGGAGGATTATTTGGAATTTGATGGACCAAGGAGTTTGTCTTTTTTTGGTAAGGATTTTGAACGCAGCGTTGGAAGGTGGAGCAGGGGAAGAAAAACGAAATTCCTTGGGCTTCTATTTACTTGGACCGGAATAAAAAGACGGGGGAGAGGATTAATCAGGAGGGAGCAAAGGACGAGGAGCTAGCGGCGAGCGAGGAGAATCTAGTCTATCTAGATAATAAATAAAAGCCGAATGATGAAAACTGTTGCTCCATTTCAAATTTCCTGCAACGAGAGTGATTATAGGAAGGACATTTTGGTCTTCACAATTGCTTATTTTCTTATTTATTTATCATAAAAAAGGCATGCACTGGGATTTGAACCTTGGTCTCTTTAAAGGCAAGCAAGGATCATAACCAATCATACTAAGTATATTTATTGTATCTATTTAAATTCAAACATACACGAACTTAAATTATGAAAATCATATGACTTTTTTAACGATTAGTTGGCCACTGAATCTCCCGTAAGTACTTATTTGGTGTTTTAATACTTTGATTATTTTAGTTGTAGTTTAATACTTAATTTAAATTTCTATCTATTTTATAAATATACAATAACCCTAAAATTGTAGCCCAAATATCACTGGTTCGAATATTGCATATCGAATTGCAATATTAAACATGTAGAAGCAATATCGACTTCTTAAATTAATATGATTTTTCAGAATTACTATGGAGAAATTATATCTTGTGCAAACTATATGAGACTGGTTCTTTTAATGTTTTAGTGGGGATAACCGCTACATTTTAAACTTCTTCATAATCTGGCATGATTGGATCCAATGATCATTATACAAGATTGTGTTTAATAGGGTGGCTCATTTGACCACTTTTTGGCGTGTTAATGAATTTTTAGGACAATGACAGGTCTACATCTACACTCATCACAATCTACACATCATATAAATGTGAAATGTGAAATGAGAAAAGAGGGATTCCATTTCAAATTTGATGCGTACAGAGCAATTTTTTAGGGGTAAATTTAGAAGATGCCAGTGCGGTCGGTCTGTTGAGCACGAAAGTAAAAATATGTTTTCATTTAAACGGGCCCAAACTGTTATTTGGCCCACTAATCGTGCACCCATCGCCAATGCAATCAAATTTGGGATTTTGATCGTAAAATCGTAGGATTTTAGGATTTTACTTAGGGATTCCGATCTTGATTTTACTATAAAATCGGTGGACCTTAAAATCGTTTAAAATCGGGACTAAAATCGTAAAATAGTACCGAAATCGAGATTTTGATCGTAAGAGAACAAAATAGGTGGTTTGAAATCATACTTAGTAGACGATGTCGAAATATTACTTTGAGTTAAACAACCTAGACATAACATGAAAATAAGAGCCAAACCCATGAACTATATCCCTTCATCATGAATTATTTTGAGTTACACATTAAATAATAATTAAAATAGTGATTTTGGAACATTAATCTTGAGAATTATCTTATGGAAAAAAATCTTTTGAATTATCATTTTAAATGCTATGTGTCTTTGTGATATTAATAATTTACCTTATTAATATTCTTATGTGCTATGTTCTATATGGTACTTAAAATCCTACGATTTAACGATTCGATTATACGATTTTGATTTTACCCCTGTTTTCGATTTTAGGTAAAATCTCGATTTTAACTGCTTTGCCCATCGCAGCCTCTCCAAATCTTCTTATTCTACTCGCCGGGTCATCTCCTCCACTACAAAATATATCCTCATGTACTCAAAGTTCTCACTGAAAACTAATATCTACAACTTAGGCGCAGAGGGAGCAACCGATGGATTGTAGCGACCCCCATTATTCTGATAGCTAATCAAGAAGAGCGCGTTTGTTTAGTTGTATGGTGATTCACTTAATTAACAATTTTTATTCCGTTGACAGCCTCCTCTCAGCAATTGTATTGTGTTCACGAAGATCTGAAGGCGCAAGTGCAACAGGTCCAGGGGTAAACAATATGTATAAAGCGTTGGCCAAATTGAATTGAGTCATTCTACTTGGAATATGAAGATTTTTGCTTAATTGCTTTGGTTCGTGATGCAACTATGTTATGTTTGAAGGTAGACCAACGCAAACAACAGCACAGCTTCAGGGCTATTCTGCACATTAGGTAGTTGGGGCATTAATTGATAATTATTTGGGATTATTCCTACAAGTACATAATTTGGAACGTGCCATTATATTGCATTGATTAATAGTTGTTTGAGATTTTTCAAATGAGTGATTTGACATGTTAAACTCTCTTATTTTTGAAAATGGAGTCTTCGAAGTGGAATATGAAGATTTTGGATTAAGCTTGGTTTCGTAACGCCCTTATGGGTGTTTATTCTCTAAAATGCAGCTGTCTTTCAAAGTGCCAGTTGCAAATGGCAAGTCAGGATACAACGATGATACCGGTACACGTTTATATCATTAGTAGGTAGCAGATTGTGTCCATTCTACTATATCATTTAGCTAAATACTTAGTTGTTCTTTTCAACTAAAAATTATGCTTAAATGCTGTGATTGGCCTCATAAATGTATGTCTTTACATTAACTGTTAATGATTGTAAGTTTTGGTTTAATGGTGAAAAATCCATTTATTTAGAAGTCTAAATTGGGCAAACCTATTGGACAATAGGAATGCCATACATTAGTGTCGTGGGAGGTTTGTTTGATGTCTCAAGGTGTTAGATTTTTAAGAAGGTTGTTTGTTGTGGCAGAGAGTCCCTAAAGCTAGCGAGGTATTCCTATGTGGGCTTTTTCTTTGTTTGACTTTTTCTCGCCTTTTTTCTTATCTCTTTTTCTATTTTTGGTTTTTGTGTGCTACCTTCAGTTGCTACGTCTTCATTTGTGAGCCATCTCTACTTTTCTTATTCAGTGCCTAAAAATCATATATACTCGATTGCATAGTAGTTACTAATAGATACATTTATACCAATAGAGAGATTTTAAGTTTTATCAGTTGTTAGTTTTAATATTTACTTACATTGGTTGTTTATGTAGTTTTCTTTGTAATATTTCTCATTATACAACTAATTACTATGGCTACGTAGTTGTATAAGTGGGGGTTGGACATGATAGTTCTTAGAAGCATCAATACTTGAAGGTTATTATAATGACCAAATTCTAAAGTTATGGTTTGCCTTCAACTTGCTTGGAGCATTTCAAGTATGCATCAATTGTTCTCTCCGTGTAGTTAACTCTCAGACAAATCGAAAATCTTGCTGATATGTGCTTGATTGTAGTTAAATTTAGGGTTCTACTGCATTGTTGCTTTACTCTTTTTTCGTGGTTGAGTCTGCTTCAAAAAATTTAGTTTGATTTTAGAAAATTTTGCTTCTGCAGTCCTGTCTTGCCACCAACGCGTTCAATAGATGGAGACGGGAGAGGCGAAGGCTATTTTTGTGTTGTTGTTGCTGGTTTAGGGATCGGTTTGTGAAGAAGAGGGAGAAGAGAGGGGGAAAGGGAAATGCAGGAGAGGGGGATAACTCTTTTCTCCGACAAAAATGGAGTGAAGAAAGGAATTATGATCAGTAAGAATATGGTTATCTTACATAACAGTCTCTATTCTGTTTGAATTGAGCTTGAGAGGCAGTGATAAGGACGAGCTGCAACCAATTCATAGTGAGAAGAGAGCTATGAACTGTAATCCTATCTTAT